AACTGAATTGCTACTTCTTCCAGATTGTAAAGGCCAAAGTCAGCCACACTCGATTCTCCTGCTTGTTTCTTCTATTCGACTACTAGCGATACCACGCGAGATGTAGATGTGGGGGCAGGCAATTCGCATTTGGGTGCTTGAACCAACTCAACCATAGGCAACAACAGAGCACGGGGAGCTGATTTGAGATAGTGCAACTTGTGGGGGGTCCAGAACGTAACCACATTACATGTGCTGTGTAGGGAAAGTGGAGAGCCAAGACATCTCTAAATGGGGTGTTTGACAAGTCTTTAGGGCTTTTCAAAGCTCGGAAGACTAAAGTCTTTATCTTTCTGTTTCGTAATAAAAGACAGGAGGTTGGAAAGACCTAAGCCCTAAAATTAAGGGTTTTAAAACTGAACTGGACAGGGGTCCGATTCCTGGGTCAAACGGCTCAGTCGTTCAAATTGAATGGACGACCCGTTCAGACAAAAAAAATAAAAAAATGGTCAAACCATTGGATCATTTGAACAGATCGACCACCAATCACCTGACCATTCTCCGGTTTTTCCGGCCTGACCATCCGATCCGGTCCGGTTTTGAAAACCATGCCTAAAATTCTCATGGAAACCTAAAATGGCAAAAAAATAAATAAATAAATAAAGAAGTTTTTTGTCTTTCTATGCCTAAAATCTTTCATTTAAAAGTTTGGTAGACCATTATAGATTTGAATACTTAGGGGCCGTTTGACAAGTCTGAAAAGATCTTCTAGTAGCTTTGATAGTTAAAAGACGCATTGAGCTTTTGCATGAATATCTGAGCAGCCCAAAGCTAGTTTAGCTACCACATGTCTTTCCGTGTCTTCTGCACGAGAATAAAGCGAGAAAAACGCGGAAAGCTCTATTTGGAGCTTTCTGAAATCAGCCAAAAATGGGCTTCTCTCATCTTTTTGGCACACAAACTTTTGGCGGTTAGATCTATTACAAACAAAATGGAAAAAAACCATTATGCAATCTACCCCGACTTATAAACAGTTGAAAGACCATGCAGAAAGACGTACCAAATGGGGCTTAAACTAAGCAGTCTAAATCTTTAAAGGCACAACTCCAAAAGTTTAATATGTTTTTTGGCCATCTGGACTATCAGAAAATCTTTCTAAAAAGGCTGGCTAAACCGCATCAATAAATGACTAAATGTCAATCAATTATATGACAAAAAGCGCAAAACAATGGGAAACAATATATTTTGATATGCTCTACGAGGCTCTCAGCCACCGCGGGCTAAGCAGTTTAAGTATTTGAAATTCTTGAATCTATAAAGATGATATAGATTCCCACATTCTAAACAAACTAGCAAGTAAGGCTTTGGTTGATGTGGCAAATTTGGGTCCAGGTCAAGTTCCATTTTAGGGAGGGTTGGTCTTTGATTGGTCCTTAATCCAAAACAATCCACCGATCTGGTTTGTATACATGCTTTATTTTAGAGAGAGAGAAAGAGTTTAAAGATGTTAAGAAAAAAATGAAAGGAAGGTAATGATTTAATGGGGGATGAGAGATGTTTATAAACATTCATATTGAAGAGTTTTTTTTTTTTGTTTTTTGAGTAATGATGAAATAGGAAATTAAGATTTAAGAGTTTTTATCGAGACATTTTATATCTAACATAATTTAATTAAAAAATAAATAAATACGATGTGACCAATGAGAAGAGTAGTCCCGAGTGAGCATAAAGGTTATGAGAGTACTCTCTCTCCTTTTTTTTATATATATATAAAAAAAACTTATAATCTATCAACTGGTATCATAAACGTATTAACCAACCGGATGGTATTTATCAAAATTCATGGGTGGACTCCCATCATGAAAGCTCTTTCTGACATCATAGATTTTTCCATAATATATATAGAGAGATATGATGGGTTGGAATTTTATGCTTGTTGGCATGTGGAAAACTAAAGCCACTGTCTTGAAGAAGTAGTGATAAATGTTATCATTTCGTGGCCACTCCTGTGGACTTCACTATACTACTCCTATGGACATTCATACATTGTTCTATATTGTACCAGAATCTAAGAGAACCAAAAGCCTGACCTACCATTTTCTTAGTCAAAATTTGCTTACTCTACGGCTCTACCTATACAAACTCCAATTATTTGGTTCCCCCTGCATCTTTGACAAACAAGAACCTCCTATACACCTACTAATGTGTGCCTTCTTTGAACATACCTATCAGAAAACCATTTTCTTACCTACTACTCGGCGGAAAGTTTCATTTGTTTATAAAATTTCACCAACCCATATTGTCTCCTACCACTCTTAATTAATAGACCCCACATAAACTAATCAGTGTTAAAAGCTTTGGATTTTTGCTAACTTTGAGCGGCCTCAGAGCACCCTGTCTCGTCCACATTAGGTGGTAGGTCGTTCATAAATGGTTGACGAAGAAGTATTATAAGCGGGTAGCTGTAGGGGCCATCCAGCGGTTGAGTTAATTACTCATTGGTCGCAACTCGCAGGGGATGTATCATGTATATAGACTACAATTCTTATACACAATATTGCAAAATATATTGGTGGTTGCATTGACATGAAGCCATTTATATCATATCAATTATTGTTATTGATTTTATCAAATTCTTTTCTCAAAGTGCTTGAGCACCACAAATTGATTCGTTCGTGTTGGTTCTATGCATCAGCAAGTGCAATACTAGAGACACAATCTGAACAAAGAGACCAAGTACAAAGCTGTGCACACGAATCTAGCCGATGAAAAGCTTCATCGGTGATTTTTGAGTAGGGATGTCTCGGATTGATTTTAATTTAGATGGGTTCCAACCCAAATTTGGTCCATTGACACATTTCTTATTGATCTGTCCAATTTGTCCAACCCAAAACCAATGAAGATTGAAAAGCAGGAGAAAATGCTCTTGCAATGAGCAATGACATTGTTAATGCTCCACAGTGGGTCAACAATGGCTTTGTGATAACATTGTCCTTACTATTAGTTGGTTTTAATTTTTTTGGCTGAATAGGATCTTAAGATGTAAGATTCAAGATATCAAACCCATAGTGATTATCCTCAAGTATCCTTGCTGCTAGTTTGCAGACCATGGCTTGGAATCACTCACCCAACATTTTCCCTATGTTCCCCCAATTCGTTGTCAGGCGCCTTTCTAGAGCATAAATTTTCCAAACTTTAAACCCTATGGTTGAAATCGCATGCAATATTTCAAAGCAATATCCAAAAAAGGCCCATACTTAGCACTTATTTTCTATATTTCAGTAACAAATTTTAACACGTGAATTGCCTGGCATGAAAGTTCATTCCTCCTATAAATCCTATTTGATTTGAAATTTGGATTTGCTTCTCACAGAGTATGTCTCATACCAACCTCATAGCACGTTGCAGGCTTATAGTCATGTATTGGAAACATCTCCCCGTAAATAATAACTTATGAAAATGTTTCAGATGTGTGACTCAAAGTGCTGTAAGGCTGGTGTGAAAAGCCCTTTGTAAGGAGCAAATCCGAACTGTTTGATTCAATGTCCCAAATTAATTCGAAAAGCTAGCCCTGAGTTTTCAAAAATTGCCATGTAAATATTGTCACACACTTCAGAATTGGGATTTCCTGCAAACAAAACATGTTCCAACACTACCAACATGATCCGACACTACACATTTTACCATGAGTCTAGGCCCACCACGCATGAGATGTGTGGTATCAGATCATGTTGGTAGGGTGTTGGAATAAATTTTGTTGTCAAGAGACCCGGAGATTCTATATAATTGCCTGAGATGGGCCATTGTCTACGCTTGGCAGATGAATTAGAACTGTCAATGGGTTGAGTATGGTTTGAGACAGGCATTATTTTTTTTAATACATTTGGGGCCAAATAAGCCTAACTAACCTACCAGGCCTAAGCCCAACCCAAGTGTGTCAACTATCAAGTTTTAGTTCGGCCTGGGCTCAAGTTGGCCAAATGAGGCTTAGTTCAAGATCAGGCCTTACGCCCAAATCATAGGGTGTGGGCCTGCATTGACCTTAAATCCCAATCCAACCCACTTAAATTGTGCACCTCGATGATATCTATGTCATGTAAACACTTACTATTTACACTCATTTTTAGTTTTTGTTAAAGTTATATTATTATCAAAAAATGAAGTTCCAAGTTGTAATTGAGGCTAAGACTGATTAATAATTGGTATTTCTTTGGGTCTATTTTATAGGACTGATTTTATGTGTGTATTTGGTTTTAAATAAAATAGATTGACAAAACAAGATTCATGTAGCCGAGCCATATGGTAGAGGGCATGAATAAAGTATGTATGTAAAGAAATTAGGCCAGATTTGGGCTAAGTTAGGGTTGGGCTAAGCTTATAGGGCTTCCTAAGCGTTAGGCCCAGCTAAACAAAAACACTGGGGTTTTAGACCGAGACCCAAATTGAGGAATAAAAATCCAAGTCCAGCCCGTGTTAAAGCTTCAATCGGGCTCGGATTAGGCCCGAACAAGTTGCACTCCTATCCTAATTCATTTTCCCTTTTAATTATAATTAATATTAACATTATATTGTATTTATAATTTATCTTAGTATTATTTTATTACATTTGTTTTGAATTATTAATCGAGACAAACTATCAGGAAGAAAAGCCTCACCTCGTTAACACCGTCCGATCGGAATCAATGATGATTGGATTAAGTTCAACGGCCGATAAGCCCACCCAAACGACCATGGCCGACCCATATTCCGTATGTACGGTTACGTTGAAGCGAGTCGACCGTGCTCGATTTTTGGATGATTGGGCGATGGCGGGAGATCAAATCAGCCCCCCACATGATTACTCCCCACAACGTCCAATAGGACATCCCCTCCGTGTATTGAGAATATCTCCCGATGATAATATCAGAAATGATCATCGAGAGATGTTTCTAATATACGGCGGAGATATGCTGTGAGACGTTGTAGGGACAATCTTGTGGGTGGCTGATTTGAACTCCGACGGCGGTGCTCTAGTTTTAGAAAAGAGTTCGGACGAAAGAACGCCTTTTCTCTTGTTTCCTTCAGAAAAAAAGCTCATTTTGCTAAAACCCTCTCTTCCACCTCCGAACGTATATCCTTTCTCTGCTAGCTGTGAGTCTGTGACTGAACCCTAGTCGTTCGAGTCGAGTCGTGAGGATGTCTTCGACTCTGTTAGAAGTGACGAGGGCGGCTCACGAGGAAGTGGAGCGTTTCGAACGTCTCATAGTGAAGGATCTTCAGCGCGAGCCGGCCTCGAACAAGGAACGCTTGTTCCAGAACCACCGAGTCCGAAACATGATCGATACGATCACCTCCACAACTGAAAAGCTCGTAACTCTCTCGTTCTGTCTTCGATTTCTGGGAAGATAATCAATCTTTATGTTATCGTCCTTTCAAACAATTTTGTTTTGAAATTCTATAATTCTAAATGCTTGCAGATTGAAATCTACGAAGATAAAGATAACGCGAGGAAGGATGAAATTGCCGCTCTCGGGGGTCAAACAGCTACTGGAACCAATGTGTTTAGCGCGTTTTATGACAGACTCAAAGAGGCATGAGTTCGTACTTGCAGATGAATTTCTTATCCTCCTCGTTTTTTCGCTTAATTTCCTATCGTTACTAGGAAAATGAATCGCATTTCTATATAAGATTTTTCAGCCTCTGGAGTCTTTCCTTTTCTATTTTGCAGATTCGTGAGTATCATAGACGCCATCCAGTTGCGCATGTTGTTGACGCAGCTGAGCAATATGAGGAATTGCTCAAAGAAGAACCGTACATTGAGTTCAGTGGGGAGGTCTCTCTCTCTCTCTCTCTCTCTCTCTCTCTCTCTCTCTCTCTCCATCTGTGTGTCTTCTGTAATTGTTTCTAAACTTCTAACTTTTTTTTTGTGAAATTTTTATTGCATGACAGGGAGATTGTACTTTACGGTTTTCATAATTATCATTGCTGTTAGGTTTATTGCTGATCTTCTTAGTAGGCACGAATGGTTTGTCAAATTTATCCAGCATTTTAGTTAATTGAAATATGAAGTGTAAGTTCTCAAAATTAAAATGGTTGAAATTGGGGGTGCAGAACTGGGGATGCAATGCCTTGGCTTTCAAAGTGTTCAAACATACTCTGGAACCCTTTACTGTTTCTCCCTCTTTGTAAATTTTCTTAATATAAGGAAAACCACAAATTTTTTTGCTGCATATACCACCCATTTTGTCACATGGGAAACAAGGTTTCTCAGAATTTTTAGGGAGGTTTCAGTTTCACCGAACACTTCTCAACCAAAATCATTGTTGTAAGTTCGTAAAAATGTGATTCTTAATAGTATTTTGGAGTTTTGCACACTAACATTCAGAATCATCAACTTCTGTTCACCAATTTCCATCACATTTGCCAAAATGTTCTCCCATTTACTACCCTTTAAGCGTTTTAACAAAATTGTAGTGCAAGCCCATGGGAATTTAATGTAAAATGGCTTCTTGGTTTCACATTTTTTCTTGATAGGATGAATCTTAGTTGAGAATTCCTGTCTTTTCCCCTTACCCTTCTTTCTCCAGTATTCCTTTTTTTATTAGTAACTCGCTAATTTCTTACATTTATAAAAAGGAATGATGTTAATATATAGTTATATACAGGAGTGTTTCAAGCACCCCATATAGGCAAGCAAATGCCACACACTCCAATACATCTGATTTTTAATTTTCAAATTACAAACATTCCCCTTGGAAAGTTACTCCCAATACAAATGATTCCTATTCACTCCCTTGTCTTGCCAATGTATTAGCCAAACTGTTGTCTAATTTTCTTGTCCATTTGAAGGTTACTCCAAATGCCCCCCTTTCTTCTCCCTTATTGTATGTTTACGAATCCAAGGGCCTATGCTGTTTTATATCAACTTGCTTGCCACAACTAATGGAATCTGCCTCTACCTTTATGTTGCCCAGTATTCCTTGCTGAGACATTCATCTGCACATTGAACAAGTAATGGCATTGATGCACGCGTGGAAAAAGAAAAGAATCTATGGAATATTCATACACTAGTGGCAATTTGTGATTTAGGGTCATTTGAATTTTCACTACTTTGAGTTTTTTGAAAGCTATTTTCATTTTTATTAGTATTATGGGAATGGGATTACTTAAAGACTCAAGATAGCTTGAAGAGTCTTATAAGAGAGCTTTTAGAATTTTGAAAAGTTGAAGTTATAGGTTCTTTACTTTGGAAGCCAGAGCCAGGGAAAAGGAGGGTGAGAAGTAGGGGGAGTGCACGACAATGAGGTAGAAAATCAAAAGCCCTAGTTTGTCTCTCTTTGCAATTCTGTAAAGAAGTCGTCCTTTTCTTCAATAATTAGGGTTTCTACAATGAACTCAAAATGCATAAATTGGGTAGAGGGAATTGTAGCAAAGTTCAACAATTCATGGCAACAATTGGAACAAGATCACAATATATTTTCCTACCTAAAAAACAGAGGTTACGATGACAAACTGTGATGATGAAGTATGGTGATGTAGTAGCTCTTGTTCGGGGGGAGTTTGGTGGAAGTCTAGTGGTGTTTAGAGGGAGATTTAGAAACCCTAGTGTCTGGGAAGAAGATGGGTGGTGGAATCTTGGTATAACCCTAGAAGGTTTGGTTCAAATGTAAGAAAAAAATTCTCCTATAGGAACACAATGGTGGTAGGGGCATGGTCAGGGTTCGGTTCGGAGATACCTTTCTGAGAAGAGATGGAGAATTATTGATAAAAAAAAAGAAGAGATGGAGAACAATTGTTTCTAGAAATAGAGGAAGTAGGGTGAATGCAAGAAGGGACTTCTTGATGGGCTGCCTAGTTGGTTGCTTTGAGAAAGGGGTAAGGATGGATGAAGTTGAGAGGTAGGTAGTGAGAGTTTGGGGTGAGGTGGAGGTGTGAGAGTAAAAAAGATGATTGAAAATTTGTACTTATTCATTTTCCCGACGAGAGAAGAGGCGGCATGGGTATTGTGACAAGGACCATGTAGGATGGGGCAAAACTGTTTGGTGATCGGTTGGTGGGTAGTGAGTGTTGGATATTTCTTATCAGAGAAGGGGGAGATTTACTCGCTAAAGGAAATTTGGATTAAAGTCTTTAGTCAGCCTTTGTTGTTGTGGTGTCCTAGTGTTATGAAGGGGAACAGGGGATTGGTGACCTATGTTGGGGTTTCCTAGTCATAGGCAACTTTGCAAAGGAACTAAAAACGTGTGAATGGGTTTTTATCAAGGTAAGAGGTGGTGGTGTCCTAGTGTTATGAAGGGGAACAGGGGATTGGTGACCTATGTTGGGGTTTCCTAGTCATAGGCAACTTTGCAAAGGAACTAAAAACGTGTGAATGGGTTCTTATCAAGGTAAGAGGTGGGGGTGATTCCATAAAAGATAGAGATTATGGTGGGAGAGACATCATTCTAGGTTTGGATCTAGCAAGAGAGAAGGCCAACGGTGAAGGCAAAGAGATTGGTTAAGAAGCAAGCAAAACAGTAGTGATCGAAGAGGAGGTGGAGGAGAGCGGCAACTCTGAGGGGATGTCAGAGAGGAAGGAGATGAACAACTAGTGATCCGTAAGAGAGACATGTCCTTAGGAGCTTCGGTTGGGCACTTTTGTCGAGACTAGTAAACAACATGTAGCTCCTGACCGTCCAATTGTCTCTACAGTGAATGGTCAGATTGGGAGCGAGGTTCAAAATTTGAATGCTCTACAAGGTCAGGCGGGAATTTCAAATGTGGCTTTAGAGAAGCTCTTTTGGAGTGTCTAAAGACTTCAACCGTTTGCCATCTAGAGAGGGTTTAAAGTTTGGTTATCAAATGGAGGAGAGGCCAACGGGAGAGGACCAAAGGGGGGAGGGGTAAGGAGAGGAGAGGTTAATGCGAGTATTTGAATCTGAGGAAAATCACCATTCGGGTGACCCAAATGGGATTCGACCCCACCTACTAAGGGATCTAGTTAGGGTGGGCCGAGAAGGGGGTGGCCCATCACCTTTATTTGTTCCGAATTGGCTAAGTGAATCGAACCAAGAAGTCATTGAAGGGACTGGGGGAGATTCATTGGGATTAGAGGGTGCAATCGAGGAGGGAGTGGAAGGTTTGAGTAGGGAGATCAACCAGCAGAAAGAGCCCTCGCCGGAGAGGACACCACAGAGGAGGAGGAATAAGAACAGATCTCCGCCAAAGGTGACAAGGTTTTAGTCTTTCTATATATGGGTTCTCCTGGAGTTGTTTTTGGTTTGTTTAGCTGCAGTAGCCCCACGAACTGATGGTGGCTTGGTTGATACAGTCTCTGGTTGGTTATAGTAGAGGCGTGGGATCATTTCCCATTGTCACAGGGTTGGGGGCTATGGGGATAGGGATGGCCTACCCCTGTAGTATAGCCCCAAGAACCAAGAAAAAAAAGCTGTAGTTGGATTAAGTGGGTTGTTAAATTTATTAAGAGTTTATGATCTTGTTTGAGTATCTTGTGTGTTAGTTATGTTTATCCTAGTAAATTGTTTTTGGTCAATTTCCTAATTGAAAATTGGAGTTTGTAAAAGCAGCTCTTTTTCCTGGTAAGATGTAAAGGCCTTTATGTTGAATAGTCATTGTTAATGAAAAAAAAACATATAGTTCTATTTGAATTTTTAGAAGAGGAATGAAATTTGAAGTTTGTTTGGTGCCAAATCTAAATTCTTTCTTTACCCACCATGTGCACCCTAGTGGGACATTTCCCCTTTCTATCCTATATCACAGATATTTGATTGAATTTTTAACTTCCTTTATTAAAGTTGTAATATGTATGGGGTTAATTTGCAGGAGGCTTTTGGGCGGTACTTGGACATGCATGAATTATACAATGAGTATGTAAATTCTAAGTTTGGAGAGGCAATTGAGTACTCTGCTTATCTGGATGTGTTTTCACAGCCTGATAAAATCCCTTGCAACCTGAAACTGACAAGGTAAGCTTTTCATTTTTTGGTAGAAAAAGTTTCTCTAGTTAGCTGACTAGGTAAGACTTCACTTTAATCCCTAGTTTTTTTTTTTTATAATTTTTTTTCTTCTTTTAATCTTATGTGTCCCGTTTCTGCAGGCAGTACAAGGAGTATTTAGAGCATCTTTTGGAGTATTTAATATATTTTTTTCAGCGGAGGGAGCCTTTGCAGGATCTTGATAAAATGTTTTCAAAGGTCTAATCTTATTGTTCCTCCTTTTCTGACACCTTTATCACTCCTTTGATGTGATTCTCCATCTCTCTCTCTCTCTCTGCCAGTTTTGTATGTGCCCATTTTGTTCAGAACTTCAGATGCATTAATACATGAAGCATGTAAGTTTTATCACTCCTAGTTTATTTTTGAAAAAGATGGTAACTTTATTAATGAACCTGGAGGTACATAAGAAGATGTACAAAGAAAGACAGACACTACAACTCAAAGGTTAAGTAGGAAGAAAGCTATCACTAAACAAGAAATCCCTGTAAGCACCAGCTTTTGCAAGGCCATCCGCATCAGAGTTTAGCTCCCTAGGGATCCAACCCAACTGTGCATTTAAGTTAGAGAGGATATCTCTAGCTTCAGCCAAGAAATGAGCTAAAGCCCATCGACCACTGCCTGGGTCAGCTAACCACTTGATGGTATTTGCTGCATCTCCTTTTATGAGAATGTTCTGATAGCCCAAATCTCTTGCAATCCTGGTTCCAGTTAGTGCTGCCATGATTTCAGCCTTCATTGAAGAGGCTATCCCAATCGGTCCACTGAAAACCCAATTAACTGTACCATCTCTTCTTCTGAAAATTCCACCAATTCCTGCTGCACCTGGGTTTCTAAACGCACTTACATCAAAGTACATGGTTATCTCCCCTTCCGCAACAGAAGACTGGGGGAGGGGGGTGATAAGGACTGATGTTTAGAAAACAAGAAGTATGCAGCATTTCTTTGAAAATCAGAAAAGGGAACTCCTTTAAAAAACTGAGTTGGAAGTCCAAAGGCAACTTCTAAAGGAAATGATAGACAAGAGCTCCTCATAGTTTCTTTTTCTGTTGTTGAAAATGTGACTATTTCTCTCTTCCCAGATGCTCCAAAGGATAGCATGTGCTACAGAATGCCATAGAGTCCTTCCTCTTTTGCTTAACCCTCTTGCTGTCCATTGTCTGATACAGTCTATTCACATGTTCAGGGAAAGTCCAACTATAATTGAAAAGATTGAGAAAGAAAATCCAGAATTTTCTAGTTTCGTCACAGCGGATCAGAATATGATTGGCTGATTCCCTGGCTTTTAAGCAACAACAGCATACGTGTGGGGATAAATAGGACCTTCCATGGTTCTTTTTCTGGAGGAGATCAGAAGTGTTGATCTTCTTCAGACTAGCTTCCCACACAAAAAAATAAACTCTGGATGGAATGTGTGTGCACCAAACCGTCTTGAAAGGGAAATGTACAGTTGTTTGTTCTTCCTGGATTAGAACCCTGAAGCAGGACTTAGTCGAAAACTTACCTGCTGGGTGTAGGGTCCAGACTCTCGAGTGTCAGTGGTATTTGGGGAGAGGTACACTTCTCGGAGAGTGTATAAGAATCTAGATATTTCATCAAGTTCATTTTCTCTCAAAGGTCTTCTAAAGTTTAGGTTCCAGTTGAACTGAGATTGGTATAAGGATAAAACAAAGGAGATGGGAGCTTCTTTGTTTCGGGTAAGGCTGTAGAGGCGAGGAAAGGATGCAGCCAAGGTAGAGTCACCCCGCCATACATCAGTCCAGAATTTTATTTTATCCCCATTTCCCACTTTATACCTGATATAGGAAATGAAAAATTGGTAGGTTGAGAGTATACCTTTCCAAGGGTTTATGTCCTTGACCCGGTTCAAGTGCAAACTGCAATCCCAACCGCTGGTGTGCTTCCCATACTTGCTGGTGATGATCTCAGTCCATAGGGTATTCGGTTCCTGAGGATATCTCCACAACCTTTTACTTAGAAGAGCTGTGTTTGTTCTATCAAATGACCTATTCCCAAGCCTTCATCCTCCTTAGATTTGCACACCTGGGACCAATTCACGAGATGAGATCACTTTCCCCACTTCCTTCCCACAGAAAATTTCTTTGAAGCCTTTGAAGCCGGTTGGCAATTTTGGTTGCCATTCGAAAGGTCGAGAGATAGTATGTGGGCAGGTTTGCCAAAGAAGCTTTAATGAGGGTGAATCTCCCACCCTGACATATCTTTTCTATAAATTAGGAATTTTTTGTAATCTATAAATGTGCTCCTCACTAAGCTAGTTCATGCCTAGGTGCATTTAAGTCATGCGCCTTGCTTGAACCCAGGCGATATCTCTTTCAGGAGGTGCAAGCCTGGGTTTCAGGTGCAAGGTGGCCTGTGCTCATGTCTTTTATCAGTTTTTTTTTTTTTTTTGTTACCTTACACATTCTTACATGTTTTACACCTTTGAATTGTTCTTCTAAGTGCTAACTCTTTAAAGACATAAGAACAAAGACCTGTAGAATTATTACCTACAGCCCTAGTTATTGCAGATAGGATCTCAGATTAAAAATTTTTCATTAAAGACTTAACAACCATATAACTGATATTTGATCCCTAACCCTAAAATACAATGAACTTTGACCAAAATCACAAAAACAACCCCTATATATAATTAGGAATGTGAGACCCTGGTATTAGGAATTGGGACCTAAGTTTAGGAATGTGAGACCCTGGTATTAGGAATTGCAACCTAAGTTTAGGAATGCAAGATGTCTAAAATCACAGTAAATACTTTAAGTAATGCAATTAGGAGATGGATAAACATGCTAAGAGTCTGCAATGCTTGAATTTTTGTGTGCTCTATGGACTTTGGTATGATCCATATTTTGCTTTCACTTTCACTTCAAATTTGTTTTGTATGCTATGCTTATGTATTTTAATTTGAGCAAATAAGCTTTTTAATTCATTCAATTTCTTTTGAAATTCAGGTTTGCATATTTATTTTATGTATTAGCATTCTATTTTTTTGGAAAAAAATCATAAATTTGTGCCTTGTTTCATCCAAGTCTTGCCTTGCACCTTGTGCCCTGGGGCTAGAAGGCCTTTGCACTTTTCTGGCGCCTCTTGCTTTTAAAACACTGTATAAGCTCTATCATTTTATGTCTACAATTCGACCTCAGACAATCAAATTGGGGGTTTCTATACTTGTGGTTTCTGCATGTAAGGTTTTTTCACCTATTTAAAGGTCTTTTCAGGAGACCAATGTTTTTATTGATTAAACAATATAAACATATATGCAAAACTGAAATTTTGAAAACAAAAAACTAAAAAAAAAAGCATGGGGTACAAAGTATCGATACACACTTGCTGGCGTACCAGGGTGTATCAATACTTTAAACCTTGCATGTAACTAAGGACCCTTATTTTCTATTATTTCTTTATAATATTTTTTGATCAGCTTGTTTCTTTATAAATTTGTTAATAGGAAAAAAAATACTGCCTGAAGAAATGCTTTTCAAAAAAAGATCTAATCCCAACTTGAGGGAGGAGAAGAGAAACTTCTCAAATTAGAAATTAAGCCTGAAACTGTAACAGCTTGAAGTTGAAATCTTCATTCTCGTCCATAAAAATTGAACATGAACCAGATAAAAAGCGCAATACATTCACAGATCCAGCTAAAGTCGTAGTTTTTTTATGAGCTTCTCTTTTTCACTATTATGGGATTAAAATTAGAATCCCAAAAACTTTGGACTGTTACTAACACGAAAAAGAACCCAAAACCAAGTCTTGATTGATTTTTCTTCTCACTGTTGGTGGTTTCTTGGTGTTTGCCAAATGCCAATTAGAACAGAATTGCATGGCCAGCACAAGGGATGACAAGTGTGTAAGTGTAGACTCTGACGATTTTTTTTTTGGGTGGGGGGTGGATAAAGATTGAAGACTGAAGAGAAAAAAGCCAGTTGAAATACAGAGAGAAATTGAGGGAAGAAAGGATCCACAGATCTGAGGGAAAGGGAAAGAAAGGGAATTAAGGAGTCTGCTTGTAAGATCAAAGAGGAAGGCAGGCCAGACATGGGAAGAATGAAACCTAAAATCCTGTCACTTCTGAGCATTTAGTTTTGGAGATTCCCTTTGGACTCAAACAGCTTGTGGCACGAGGTAGTCAAAAGTATTTCATGGCATGCCAGCTAATAGTTGGGACACACAGCTGAACCTGAGAGCATCCTTAGCTTCACCCTGGAAAGCCATTTCTTCCATCATTCACAGTGTGTCAGCTAATGGTTGGGACACATGGCTGAACCTGAGAGCATCCTTAGCTTCTCCATGGAAAGCCTTTTTTTTTTCAATTTGTTCAACTTTATGTCCTCTCAGGTAATAAAATAAAATTTTGGCAAGATATTTGGTGGGGTGACACTTCTCTGCTTGTTTTGTTTGCAATACAATTTTACTTGCACCAGTACAATATGTATGTGAGCAAAAATCAAGAAGTTTAAATTCCAGTTTGCTACTTCACTTTTATTTGCACTAGTTCTATTTTAGTTCATTTGCACTGCAAACAAAACAAACTTATTTGCAGTTCCATACTTTTTTTACCAGTGCAAATGAAATGGTATTGCAAACAAGCTACTCCTGAAGGACTGAATTTTACTTATTATTCTTATTCTTGCGAAAAAATGTCTTCTCTTGATGTGCATCTCCTTTAGAACAGGGGTTAGCTTGTGATTTAGGCCTAAGAAGCGGGTCTAAGGGACTTTGAACTTTCAGATGCAATAACACTTATTGATACCCTTAAAGGTGTAGTCTTAGAATAGAGTTACCATTCAAAAATAATAATTAAATTCCTTCAATATCCCAACCCAATGCTACAACCATTTGTGTCCCTTTGTTTGGTCTCCACCACAAAGGGGATGCAAATGGGTGTAACATTGCAAATCTGACCCTATCTGGTATTGGGAAGTTGTATAACATGTGTATTTTTGGGGTTTGGTCCAGTAAAGGACAACAGCACGTGTAGTTTGAGTGGCTTGTGAAACTAGGCCAAATGATGGAGTGTTTCTGAGACAACACTGTACATATTGTTCTTTTAAACAATTAATAAAGATTTATAGTTACTCGTAAAGAAAAACTATACCATATCACTTCCATCATGAAATAAGTGTGGTGTCCAAAATGAGGAGATGAAGTGCATGGTTGATATATCTAAAATTTTATATGGACAATCTAGTCCATCCAGTATATTAAAGTCTAATGACTGACCCCAACAATGGCTGAAAAACAGTTTTAACAAAAGCCGCCTGAGCCTTGGTTGAGTATCCAATTCCAGATTGTAAGCTTATTTCCATGTTCAAATTTAGGCATCTTAAATTGTGTAATATTTTGCTAAGCTGACTTTTTTTTTTTGGGGGGGGGGTCAATACTTTTATACAATTGGTTAAGATTTCTGACCCGCAAAGTGCATCGTCTTATACTTTCCCACTGAGATGCCGATCGGCTTGTGGCAGGTTGAAACTGAATTTGAAGAGCTCTGGGCAAATGGTAAGGTAGAAGGATGGGAAAGTAAGGGCCAAGAGAATGGAGACGTTTCAGCTCCGGATACTGTAATAGATCTTGATTACTACAGCACAGTGGAGGAACTAATTGAAGTAGGGCCTGAAAAATTGAAGGAGGTAAATGGTTTTCTTTCTGATCATCTCAAAATTTCTAGATACTAAGTTGAATTTATCATGCCCTGAAAGACTTCCCTTTGGATCAAGTATACTGCATAATCTATTTATAGAAAAAGGTATACTGCATAATCAGTGTAGCATGCATATATCTTTTCTGCATTTTCATTATTACCCTCTGTCATAGATTGCAGATTTAGCGTATGAACTTGTTATGCTTTATGTTAGCATACATAATACAACAGTCAAGAGGTCCATGATCTGGGCCTTCCAGCAATAGAAGATTGTTCACTGTCATCTGTGATCCTATTGGTTGAGATCATAGTTTTCAAGGCACCAAGGCTCTAGGAGACAGGGGAGTGCCTTGTCGCCTAGTCGTCTAGGCAGGCTCCTAGCCGATGAGTTTTTGAAAATAAAAAAATAAAATATATATGTTTGTATATATAATATAAATCCTAGGGTTGTTTCCTAGGTTTCATAGTAATAAGCAGTAATCTTTAACTAATATCTACCATGATCCTCGTGAAATATGCATAAACCCCATATCAAAAGATAGAAAACCAACATATTTATGAGAAGAAAAATAAGAAAGGAAAGAAAGCATACAAAACACAGGAAGAAGAAGATGATGATGAAGAGGTCCTATTGATTGTCCTTGTGAGCGAATTGGATAAAATCTTCAAGTTACTTCTTAATTATCAATTCAGGTTTTAAAGTCTTAACGGGTTCAAAAGACTATAGGACCATCTGCTAACAGCTGAAGATGCTTAATTAAAAAGCTTAAAAAGAACAAGTTTTTAAGGAGATTGTGGGTTCCTTAATGGCTGAAACTGAAATTGGATCGATCATATACCCCTGAAGGTTTTATTATTTATATATTTATCAACTAAAAGACAAAGCAGTAAGTCTCAGCAACTTCAGTCATTATCAAACGGCTCCTATGTCACCGACTTGTGTGTCGATTGAACCCAAATAAGAAAATAATAAAAAGAAACTAGTATAAAAATAATAATATTAGCACCATAAACCTACAATATGGATGATTTAGTCTAATGATATATATTGTACTGCTATTAATAACATAAAATAAAAATATAAAAAACATTATGCTGTGTCTTGCATATAAATATTTAGTTGTTTAGGCGAGGCGACCCCCTAAAAGCACCTTATCACCTAGGTGTTCCCTTGACAACTATGACACCAAGGCTAACCTAGGCGACTGGTTGGGATGCTAGGGGTATCTCGACTTCTGCACTAGAGAAAGAGAACAAATTCAACTTCTGCACTGTAAGTATGAAAATTTTGTCCAACAGCTATTTATCCTCTAACCTGAAAGGCTTTGAATTTCTATGCATTGGAAGTGACCTGAGAGATATAGGTTTATGATATGAAAGTCTGTCACTTGGGGGCTGTTAAAATGATCAAATAATAAAACTTTCAGGGATATAGTGGTCTACCCAACGTCCGTTTCAGCCATTAAGGAGCCCATAGCATCCTTAAAGTCTTATTCACTAAAAGTCAAAGTGATAAGTTTTTTAGTTCAGCATCTTCAGCTGTTATCAAACAGCCCCTTAGTCTCGTGACATGAATCTGGAAACAGGGTTTGTTAATAATCAAGGTGGACCAGGGACTGTGAGGGAGGGTATGTTCTGGGTAGTTTTGCAATAAAGATTACTGGGGACTCAATACCTGTTTAGGGGTTGACAGTTGTACTTAACATTGTGTTAATGAAGTTACTGTTTCCAATAAAAAAATAATAATAATCAAGGTGGTCCAAAAATGTGTCAAGACGCCTCTGGATGGGATCTGAAGCCAGTTATAGCTAAAGTTATTCTCCTGTGTCAAGGTCCTTTAGTCTTCCCTAGCCACCAAAAAAAATTCCAACCATCATTGATGCATTTTGGCTCATCCCAAGAATCAGACCTCTCTGTGAAGTTATCAAGCTCATAAAGTCAGGTTGGTTATATAACATTATAACATGTTTTGAAGGTGAATAGAAATGGCTTGGTCCTGTTTTGGTGTTCATTTTTACCCACCGGAATCAGTTCTTTGGCTTCTTCTATCTTTTAGTCTCTTTGGAAAGAAAGAACTAGTCACATTTTTTTCAACAAATGTTCAGATTTAGACTCAGTTAAGAACATTATAGGTTTTTTATGCTCCTGGTTGGGTGTACAAAGAGCTTTTGAGGGTGTCCAGCTTATTTCTTTCTTTGCAAGCTGGGCTTATTTTGAGTGATTCGTTAGTTCTTTTTGTATATTCCCAGTTTCCCACTCTATTTGCTCTCATTGTATATGGGCTGATGTAATTGGCTTTTCCATTAATGCAATTCAACACTTTACCTTTTTTTATCAATAATTCAACACTTCACCTTAAAAAAAGGGGAAATAGAAATGAAGAGAGCCACCAGCTTCTGATCTTTTTTTTTTTTTGATCAGCACCAGCTTCTGATCATTAACAGGATTCATATGATGACCAACTCCTAATAAAGTCTTTTACACCCGTTGTCCCCCAGAATCATCAAACTTGTCAACCAGATGGTAACCCCAAATCACATTAATCATCAAACTTGTCATACCACATTCATATTCCTTATAAAATAGCAATTTTCTTATTTTTGTCAGATAATAGTAGCTTTTTTTTTATTTTTGTGCATTTGAGCATGGTAAGATCACCCTGAACCAACTTATTTCTTTTATAATATTTTTATTTTTTAGACCTTAGAGCATCCTATTACTTTTACCAGTTTCCATCTTAAATAATCACTTTGTTGATTGTGTGATGTTTTCTGACAGGCACTGGCTGCTTTAGGACTGAAAACAGGTGGTACTGTTCAGCAGCGTGCAGAAAGGCTTTTTCTTACAAAGGTAAGGTATACAATTATTGTAGCTGCATTAAGGAAAAAGAAATATGTATATGGTACTCTTCTCTCTCCACAACGAAATCTTACCACATCCCTGCCTTCTTGTGCCCTGTAGCAATATTTCATCCCAACTTGCATGCATAAAAAGCTAACTAAACTTTTGAACTACAATTTTAATGATGAGTAGCACTATATGGGTTGTGCTATCCCAAGGAGTCCTCTATTATCCTCTGTGATAAATCATAGTAGTTAATAAATCATTTTGAGTGCTATACTAATAAGTTGATGTCTAGATATACTTGTACTAAGTACTTAGATATGATGCAATTGATAATTAAAAAAAAAAGAAAAGAAGAGAGGGAGAGTCTCTTACAGACTTTCTAAATCAAGTCTCTTATAGATTTTTTAAATTTAAATTTTGATATAGACTTTTTAAATTTGATGATTTATAGACTATATAAATCACCAAATTTAAATTTTGATATTCCATATTTTCTCCATCTAGTCAATTACAAAGATACATATTTATAGACTTTTTAGCTGTGCTTTGCCAACTCAATTTCCTTAAGGCCCAAGATAGTGAACCCACCTGACACATCAGTTGCTCTTCCTAAAACCTCAAGGAGATTTAGCTGTGCTTTGCCAACTCAATTTCCTTAAGGCCCAAGATAGTGAACCCACCTGACACATCAGTTGCTCTTCCTAAAACCTCAAGGAGATTTTTATCTCTTTCTTTTGAAATGGAAACCATCAATACATTTGGCTCCATTAGATCATCAACCAGGCCTGGTGGTCCCATAGGTGCCTGGTGGGCTCTATGGATAACCTAGTGTGTGTGTGTGGTTTTTTTTTTCTTGGGGGAGCTTTTGGCACCTAGACTTGGGATCGAATCCCACCTGCACCTGGATTGGGGGATGGGCTACCCCCCCGTTGTGTAGCCCTTCAAAAGAAATAAAAAAAAAGCATGAGGCACAAGAAAAGTGCAATGGGCTTTTTGTGCCTGAGGTGCAAGGTGAGGTGCATGCCTTTTTCAAGCAAGGTGAAAATTTTAATAAAAAATCAGAAAAATAAAAGAAATAGTATTAATTCCAAAAATGCAAACTTAAATGTTAAAAGAAACTAAATGTTTTAAAAAGTCTATTGGATCAAATTAAAATGTATAAACATAATATTTAAAACACATTCAAGATAGAAACAAAATCAAACATAACATATAAAACATATTCAACCACTCAACAATTCAACATGTGAAACTTTCAATCTGTCTATTTCTCTACTAATGCATCACTTTTAGTAGCTAATGTGATGAGAAGAAAACAAGTCCAACAATATCTTGATTGTAGAACAAATTAACAAGAAAAATAATGAAGAAAGTAGGAAGAAGAAGCTGTTCATGAGAAAGAAGAAAGTGGAAGAAAAGGGGAGGAGAAGAGAGCTGAATCGTATATCTCTCTATCCCTTAAACACGTTATATATGCTGAAATAAATAAAAGAGAAAATTACATGGTTTCCCCTAGTTAGGTGGCTGACTCAAGGAACATAAGAAATAAAAGTGTTTAAGGCCCATAAAGGCAGCTCACTACAGCAGAAAAAAAGAAAGAAAATAACTGAATAACTGAACAAAACTAAGGCCCATTCAGCCTAATTTCTTTACACTCCCCCTCAAGCTGAGCATAGATGTCAGTCATGCATAGCCTGCTTACATAGTGTTGGAGCTTAGGAACTCTCTTGGTCAGGATATTTGCTAGTTGTTCCTATGAAGACATGAAAGGGAGACACACTTCCCCTGAGGCCACTCTCATATGAAGTGTCTGTCTACCTCAATGTGTTTGGTTCTGTCATGCTAAACTGGGTTATGAGCAATGTTGATGGTAGTCTAATCATCACAATACAACATCGGCAACCTATCATAATCTATTCATATCTCTTCTAGGAGAGATATGAGCCACAACAACTTTGACAACCCATGGGCCATGGCCCTATACTCTGCCTTAGCTAAAGGTCAAGCAACAACAGAATACTTCTTACTCCTCCAGGAAACAATATTTCTAGCAACCATGGCACAATAATCCAATGGGGATCGTTTGTCATCTATACTACCTACCCAGTCGCACCTATATATGCCTCTAACTTCATATGGCCATGCCCATCAAAGAGTATACCCTTCTCAAGAGTTCCCTTTAGATAACACAACACCCTTTTTTGTAGCAGCCATATGTGTCTCTAGGAGCATGCATAAACTGGCTAATCACACTCACATATAGGAAATTTTTGGCCGTGTTATACATAGGTGTAGAAGTTTCCCCAACAATTTCTGAAACACTCCCCTATCGGTCAAGAGCTCTCCATCATCAACCGAGAGCTTATGATTCACATCAATAGGAGTGGAAGCAGGTTTGGCACCAAGTTTTCCAATCTCAGTGAGAAGGTCCAGCACATATTTTTGCTGGGAGATGAAAATCCCCTCTTTAGATCTAGCATCCTCAACGCCTAAGAAAAGCCGCAGCTCCCCCAAATCTTTAATCTCAAACTTAGAGTTAAGGAAGCATTTGAGATCATGAATTTACTGTGACAACAATGTCATCCACGTATACAATGAGGAAGGTGACATGAGAAGCTTTCGTCTTTACAAATAGAGTATGGTTTTGCTGTGTTTGAGTAAACCAAATTGAATAAGTGCAGTCCAAAATCTATCAAACCAAGCACAAGTAGACTGTTTAAATCCATAAAGAGATTTCTTTAATTTACACACCTTACTTTGCATCTCCTTAACATACATTCTAGGTAGGCTTGTAAATGGATTGAATTCAAATCGAATCAGGCTAGATACCGATTATGAATACTAATATTCGAATTCGATTCGATATCCGACGGATATCAAATCTTTCAATTAGAATTCGATTTCGATTATCAAATCGAATATATTCGATTTGATTCGAATTTTATCGATGGCAATGGTGGTCGGTGGTGATGGCAGTGGTGGCCAGTGAGGCGGTGATGGTGGTTGCCATCAAGACTACTGTCACTCGACCACTGTCACTGACATTACTGTTGGTGATGGCGGTTGCTCGGACAGTGGCGATGCTAAATCAAGATTTGAAAGAGGAGAAGATGATTAGATGAGATACGAGAGAGAACTGAGGAGAGGTAGAGGGTGAGGAGTGGTGGCAGGTGAACGGTACTCGACCGTCCAGTCGTTGATGTAGCCGGTGTGGTTGCTCAGGTGGCGACGACGAAGGGAGGGTTAGGGTTTGAAAGGAGATGGAGACTGGAGAGAGATACAGAGGTTCGAATGTTTCATGTTTGCTTGATTCAATGTGAAATGAGAAAGGAGATATGAAAATGGAGAATCTCAAATTTTGTTATTTACATTATTAACCTTCTTTGTAAATTTATATATATATATATATATAATCAGTTCGGATATTTATCGGATCGGATCAATGCATATTCAAATCCGATTCGATTGTGTCGAATCTCATATTCTAATTTGGATTTTCAAATACTGCTTACAGGCCTAATTCCAGGGCAAAGGGACATATACACCTTTTCTGCCAAGTCACCATTCAAGAAGGCATTTTTTACATCAAACAAATAAAGAGGCCAATCATAGTTCACTGCTAAAGACAACAGAACCCTCTCAGATGTCATCTTAGCCACTTGAGAAAAGGTCTCCATATAATCAATCCCATAGACCTAAGTATATCCCTTGGCAACAAGGTGGGCTTTATACCTTTCAATTTGTCCATTAGCATGATACTTTATAGTGTAAGCCCATTAACAACCAACAGGCTCCTTCCCAGTAGGCAAGTCTACAATATCCCAAGTATCTCAGTTCTAATGGCATCCCTCTGTTCTGGCCTAGACAAGGCTTCTAATACATTCTTAGGGACAGGTTGGGCTGAACTGGAAGCTAAGAAGGAATAGTAGGAAGGGGACAACAAATTGTAAGAGAGGTGTTTGGAAATGTAGTGAGCAATACATTTCCGTTTACCTTTTCTTATGGCAATGGGTAGGTTAAGGTCTAGGAATGAAGGTACTGGTGATGGTTGTATAGCACTTGTCCTCTCTTCAGTGACTGGAAATGTTGGAGGCTTACTTGGAGATGGGGGAACAAGCTGTCCATGCCTTAGCCTTTGCCGTTGGTATGAAGAACAGGAGGTGTAGTGAACACAGGAGGACTAGGGGGAGGTGGAGGATGTGCAGGAATGGGGGAGCCAAAAGATTTAACTACAAGAACCAAAGGAGCTGAAGAAGGACCAACACAAGAGTCACTAGGAGCTGGTAAAGGTAGGGGAGAAGCCAACAACTCATTAGAGGGCTCCCCCTCAGAGGAATGACTATAAAAGGAGCTGACTCTTCAAAAGTGACATCCGTAGAAACAAAACTAGTGCCACTACTGGGATGAAAGCAACAATAACCTTTCTGTGTGGAGGCATATCCTAGAAAAACGCACTTCCTGGATTTGGGTTCAAACTTACGTCTTTGGAAACTAGGGACATGAACATAGCAAGTGCACCCAAGGACTTGCAAAGGAATGGAGAAAACATTAAGGTCTGGAAAGAGAACACTAAAGGGAGATTTGAACCCCAAAACCCTAGAAGGCATGCGATTAATAAGATAAGTATGCTTCAAGAGTTGCTATTGCCTAACATGTCCTTTAACTTAGGTCTTCATGCAATTGCATTGACCTTGAAGGCCAAAAGTGTGTTACCAGCAACTCATTCAATATCCATAAGGGGCATAATTACCTATACACCCCAGTTAAATGATCATATTCATTTTTTTTTTGAGCAAAAGGTAAAGTATAATTGTATTAATGAAAAGGTCCTTTATACAATGAGAAGCTGTACAAAAAAGCCAGAACTCCTAAAACTATGGTAGGAAATGTCTTCCTTATGCTAAGGTATTTTTGTCTTCTTGGTGGTTTATATTCTAGTTTTATTTTCTTGTTGAATCTAAATATCTAATTAATTACCGGGACAGAATGAAAATAAAATACCAAGTTAATCATGTTAATTCTGCTGTATGTTTTGTTTTTGATAAAAAGCTTAGTGTTGTATGCTCCAATTAAAAATGTGTACTGCATCATGAGTGTAAATACAGAAATGCACTCCAAATGTTAAACAAGAAGCACTTTGCAGTTTGAATTTGGTAACTGCAATGTGAAATATCAAGACTTCATAGAGATATTCTTTATAATATTTATCATGTTTAATGTGAAAGTAAAACCTAGAACCAACTGCTTATAGATGGCTCATAGAAGTTTCAAATAATCTACACTGTGACTGATGATGAATTACCATTCTATGACTGATGGCTCATTGAATTTTCTAGTGTTTTTCCTTTTTAATGTGGTTTAGTTATTAATTGAATGAATCTCTGTATTATTGTAAAATCGAAATGTTTTTTTTTTTTTGTGAAATTATTTTGGAGATGTGTTTTCTCCCTTCGCTCTTGTTAAATCTCTCTTACCTACCTGAAGCTCAATTTTGAAAGGATTGTGTCTGATGACTATATACTTCAAATTTCTATTTCCTGTGCAGCACACCCCTCTAGAGAAACTTGATAAAAAGCATTTTGCTAAAGGCTCACATTTACTCGAAAAAAATGGTGCAAAACAAGCTTCCCAACAGAAGGACAATTTCAAAGAAATTGCCCTCATGGAGGCAAAGATGAAGCGGCTATGCGAATTGCTAAATGAGGTTCTCTCTCTCTCTCTCATTAAGAAAATTCCTGTATGCACTCCTTCAGGACTTCATTTCAATTTGGCATGATGCACTTAACATAGAAAATGATATTACCTAGCATCTAGATAAGGGTATTTCTTCATATATACATGCAGAGTGAATGATTATGATAATGGATGACGTCTCTGCCCATATCAATAATCATTCTTTTATTTGTCACCATGCAGACAATCATGCAAACCAAAGAAAATGTTGAGAAGAAGCAAGCTTTGACATATGAGGAAATGGAGGCTGAACGCGAAGAGGTGATGCTACTTATGCTTGATAGAGACTTTAGTGATGGGCTTTGTGAAATCTTAAATGAAAAATTTCTGTAGACCATATTTTAATATGACCATGGATGAAATTCACTTTGACCATATTCTCCCATCCATCTGATCTTGTTCCTTCAATTACATGCTATTTGTCTGTATCTGAAAATATTTTATAAGAACAATAACAAAAGAAGAATTGTTTGATTTACTATAATCTCTTAGTTATGGCCTGTAGTAACCGGCTTGCATACATCTGTAATTTGTGGTATGTAGTCTGATTGTGTTATTTTTCTGGTTGATTATCAAAAATCAAAGGTTCAAACTTTAATGATCCTCACTGTTGTGAATCACATTTTTTTAGTTCATGCTCACTGGTCACTGCCATTGGTAAATAACATACACTTCAAATTTGAAGCAGGAAGAGGTACAAGCTGACACTGAAAGTGATGAAGAGGAGCAGCAAATTTATAATCCTCTCAAGTTGCCAATGGGTTGGGATGGCAAGCCTATCCCGTACTGGTTGTATAAGCTTCATGGTCTTGGCCAGGTATTCCCCCTTTACCCAGTTTAAGGAGCTTCTGAACCCATTAGTATGGGTTCGTAGCCAATCATACATTGTTTCATGTTTTACATTTCTATTTTGCAGGTATAAGGTTCCTATTTATCTAAATCTCTTCCCTGAGAATTTTCCAATCACTATTTCTTCATGTCATTATTACTTTAATTTCCTCTCATTGTTTCAGATGACGGGGTTTCTGTTGTTTCTAACTTTATGTATAGAACTATACAGCTATATCTATATAAAACAGTTTCTTTGTCACGTTAGCTGTTAGATTGCTTCCTCTTTGAATGCATATGCATGAAAATTCCAAGAAGAGAGCTAAAAAGGAGATAGCTGCTGACTTTTAGCTGGGATGTTGGGTCTGGAGCTACAGGACCCAATCACCCAAAGATAATTAAGCTTTCTTGCACAATTTTACCTGCTTTTCAGGCAAGCATAAATGGTTTTATTTAGCACCTTGTCACAGTTTCTTTGACATGCTTTTCAGGAATTCAAGTGCGAGATATGTGGGAATCATAGTTATTGGGGACGTAGGGCCTTTGAGCGACACTTCAAGGAATGGCGCCATCAACATGGGATGCGTTGCCTTGGTATTCCAAACACCAAGAACTTCAATGAAATTACATCTATAAATGTATGCTCTTCTCTCTCTCTCTCTATTTTGTTCTTGTAAAATGTATTTGTTCTATTTTTAGATTTTTTGTGGTGATTACTTATTTTGTTTTAGATTTATTTGATGTTGGTTGATCCCATGTCTATGGGATTGGGCTGATCATGTCATTTGGAAAACCACTTATATCTCCTATCACATTCAAAGAGAGGTATTACCATAGCAATTTAAACTGGTGGAGATAAGCAATTAAAGTCCAACTGTATTTGTAATGTAAAATCCTACTACAAAATGACCAAGATACAAAAAATGGTTTTCATGAAAAAAGAACATCTAGAAAATACCATATCATACATAAGCTCTCGTCATGATAATTTATCAAAGTCCAAAGGAAAATGCCAAAACCATTTCTCAACACAAAGGTATTTCCAATCACCAGTCTACTCAAACCCAACTCTCTTTCCTCTTTTCTTTTGATTAGACAATCCTTTTTAGAGTCTCTTGGTTCCCACAAAAAGTCCTTTATAATCTTCTCAGTTCTCTTTACTACTGAACAAGAGATTTTAAATACTGATATGTAATAAACTAGGAGATTTACAAAGGTTGATTTTACCAATTCAGTGCTAACTCCCAGCAAAATATGGTTTTACTTTTAAGAGGCTAGATTTTTCAGGAGTCTCTCTAAAACAGAGTTCCAGAAGGAGCTAGACTTGGGGTTACCACCACCTAGGGGGAGTCCAATGTAGGATAAGGAATCATTGAGCCGCCAAGTAACCTTGAGTTTAGCACATCTTCTACTTGTTTCATCCCCAATATTAGTTCCAGCGGTAGAGCTCTTCCCCCAAAATTTATTTTTCAAATTTGATATTTTCTCAGATACTTGGATCAACTTAAAGTGAGTTACCTCTAATAATAAAATGGTTGTGCAGAAGCTAAAAGTAAGGTTGTACAAATGCTACAAAACAATGCTTGATTAATATGTTATGATTTTTTCCCTTAAAAATCATCTTTTATGGTCATCAAAGATTTTGTGTTAGTTGGTTTGAATTACATTTTCTTTTCCATAATCTCTTACCAATTTCTATAAAACCTCTTGCATCGCATGGGTTCCTACACTAGTTTACATACATGAATACATATACATACATATTTACATATTTACATATATACACATGCATACAGACAGCACACAAGTTATCTCAAGGTATAAGGTTTGTGCTTTATGCTTTTGGAAGCCTTGGGACATTTTTCTTCAGCTTCCCTTTGAGGGTGAAGGCTTAAGATGTTTTTTAAAACATATTGGTACAAATAAATAAATTTTGGGAAGGAAAGAGTATCAGGATTTCTTATGTAATAATCATCTCTGTGTCTGACGATTTTCTAGAAATTGGAATATACTAGATGTAGAAGCACACTCCCAAATTACTGATAAAAAAATAAGAGAATCTTCCCAACCGAAAGTTACCATAATCTGTTCAACAAACTGATTGAAGACAGGATATTTATCCATTATGCAGGAAGCGAGAGTGCTGTGGGAGAAGATACAAGAAAGGCAAGGATTGAATAAGTGGCGACCAGACCTGGAAGAGGAATACGAAGACAAGGAGGGCAACATCTACAACAAGAAGACATATACTGACCTGCAACGCCAGGGACTGATCTAAAAAGGGTAGTCTCTCATATGTTTGAATTAGATGGCTTCCATGCTTGTCCTTGGTATAAATTTTGAATTACTAGTAATTACAATTAGACCTTTTTAATGTATTTTTCCTACCCTATTCTTTAGGCATGTTTCCACAGTCTATGAGCTTAGAGGTTTCCCATTTCAGTTGTTAAGCTAATGATGGGTTAATTATGAGATTCCACATGAGGATGAAAAACTAGCCCTGGTAGCTGCTTTGATGGGAGATGGGGGCTTATCTTACATCCTTTAGGTTTTGCACTGAAAAATGGAATGGCAGTCGGCAGACAAGGATTGCTGGAGGAGATTTCCATGTATCATGCAAATGTTGCTGCTTTTCAATAATTCATTTTGGAGAAGTTCTTGCAACTGTGAATATTAAACACTATCACGATTTTCATCTCCGGCTTATTTTGGCTTGTCCAGCTGGTCAAAGTGGATATCCCTTTAGCCCATAGATGCACAGTTCAAGGTGCAGACACCCCAATCAACTTGTACATGCACAGCTCAATCTTTTTTATGCATCCATTTCTAATGATTCCGGCTAAACGGTGGGGGAATGATTCTACACGTCCCCTTCTCAAATTTTCTTGAGGGGAGAAAAGAAAATGACAAACTTCATTCCTTCCCCTATAATTGCAAATGCATTTTCTTCCCTCTTCATTTACAACTCTGCTCAAGAATCCAAAATTTGAGTTGTAAACTATCTTGATAGTGGGTGTTGGAGAACAGGGTTTTGTTTTTTGAAATCAAAAACCAATGCCGTATTAGCAAAAAAACGTCACATTGGCAGTTTTTGTTTTCAAAATATAACCAACCGTTGTTAAACACCCCTGTTAAGTCAAATGTTAGAATGCGTTAAATTACTAAGGCCCCGTTTGGTTTGCAGGAATAGGGGTCTGGAATCGGAATGGGCTATTCTAATTCCAACTGTTTGGTGGGGTGGCCATTCCCTGCCCCTCCCATAGGAATGAAATTCCCAGTCATTCTTATCTGAACAAAACAGATTATGGGAATAGCCATTCTGATTTCAAAGGATTTCGATTTCAATTTCAATTCTGATTCTGATTTGCAAATCAGACCCTAAAATATTCACCTAAAATTTTTTTATTTTCTTTTTCTTGTCCTTTTTTTCTTAAACCCTACTTTCATTTTCTCCAAATAAAACCAGTTATAATAACAAGAATCATTTCACTAACAGAAAAAAAAAACTGTTTATTTAAATTCATTGACATGAATGTTATATCTGTCAGAAAGAAGTTTCTACCATGTCATTTAACTGATAAAAAGTTTTGTGGCCACATTTGCATCTAACTAATAAAAATTATGAAGTATTTGTATGAACTTAATGTTGCGTTGCTTGTTTCAACTTTCTAGTAGATATATAACCAGGAAGGTTAAGGCCTTTGAACACTCCTTTCCATGGTTTTCAAAACCAAACCGGATCGGACGGTCGGACTGGAAAAACTGGGACCGGTCACCTGACCGGTTCTGTTTTCCTCCAAAATCATTGATTTTGGTCTGTAAATCGCTGAATTGGCTGGTTAACCATTCGAACCGTTTGAATGGTTTTGACCGTTTTTCAATTTTTTAATTTGTTTTATTTTTTTATCAGAACAGGCCAGCCGTTTGGGTCGAATGGTCAGACTGTTCGAATCGGTAACCGGACCCCTGACTGGTTCCGTCACCGGTTTGTTTTTAAAAACCATGCTCCCTTCTGTCTTACCAAAAAAAAAAAAAAGGAACGCTCTCTTCTAGGATGACAAAGGCTTGGTTGACACATCCCTAGACGCTTGGAAGAAGCAGATTTGAACTGTGTTGGATGGTAAGTATATAAACACAAGGTGAATGGTAGGTGTTCAATGGATTCCGAGGGATTTGGGCAGTCAATCGGTTGGTTTTGGTTTGAGTCAAGCCCTCAACGTAGAGCTGGTCTTGACCCTAGTATTAATGGGCCTTATCAGCTTTTCCATAAAAAGATCTTATTATAACCAATAGGCCCTATTTAATTGGTGATGATGATAGAATAGATGATGCTGAGGCCTCATATGCTAATTCTCTTGTTCTCTCTGCTCATAGTATCTTATACATCCGGTGTAAAAAGACAATACAGGGCTTTATGTTGCCTGATCTGAGCTGCTTCGAAGGAGTTTAATCAAAGAATCACGTAAATGGATAAATAGTAATCAAGGACTTGTAAAATGCTGAAGTTTTGATTGAGTTGCTTTGGAGAAATCACTTAAAGAAACTTCAATGGAAAGCCCTATTTTTGGCTGAAAGCCAACTATTATGGGCTATTTAGCCGGGGTCCACCTCATAAAGCCAGAAGCTGATACCTAAAAGTCCTCTTAGTTAATTTGGGCTCTTCATTTTTAGCAAGCATTACATGTAAACTATTCCAAGTGAATCCTACCTCACAAAATTCAAAAGGCTGTGTTTGGTTGCAATGCAAATAAATTTGCACTGATGCAAAATTATGGTAGTGCAAATGATTTGAATGTAAATTCTGACCTATTATTTTTGTTTCAAATTTTAACTTATTTTGTTTGATTGCAGTACAAATGAAGTAAGTTAAGATGAAGGAGAATAAGTAAAACCCAAAATAAAGTTAAACGAGAATTTGCATTTTTTTCATTTGCACTCTCATGCCTTTGTACTAGTGCAAATAAAATTGCACTACAACCAAACACAGCCAAAGCAACAACATAAAAGCCCTCAAAAAATTGGGCGCTTTTGGGAGGGCTGAAACTTTGAATTGGTTGAGCCGAACCACTTTGAAGAGATACTAAAGAAGCTTCAACTGAGAGCAATGTAAATAGCTGTACAATAGGCAATTTGAACTTTAGGCTCAGTTTGGAAGGAGTACAAATGCAAATATGTAGAGTGCAAAACCTTAAATTTTGTATTATTTGTATTTGTATTTACTCTATACTGTACATGTTCCATGCAAATACAGGGTTTTGCATTCTACCTATTTAAATTTGTACTTCTTCTAAACTAAGCTTTCCAAACGGGCTCTACCTTGCTTACGGCTTTACATGGCAAAGCAAAAGTAGAAACATAAAAGCCCTCTTAAGTGAGTACTATTTCTTTTGAACTCTTATTAACTTCAAAGTTACATGTCGCATAGAGGGAGGGGGGGCAGCAAAGTGAACTTGGGGAGAGCAAATGATAGGTTTTACCCAAAGCCGAATGGAACTGATGTCAAACTGGCCTTGAACAGATCATACCCAATCTATTACCAAATAAGTCTGGTTCCAAATTATTGGAGCCATCATCCCCCACCTAGCTCAGTTATTAAGTGTAAGTATTTACTATACTTGAATTGACTCAAAGAACCGACCTTGATTGGCCTTGGTTGCTCATGGTGGAACCAGTCTTACAGCCAAACCACACATTGAAATAAATCCCAGAAGACTTTGAGGACTTGAAGAATTGAACCCAAACACTCATGGCTATAAAGAGCATGGTCTCATTTCACTATTGACTTAAGTGATTTGATCTTTTTTTTTCTTTAATTTAATATTTAATGTGTATAATAAGTAATGTAAAAGGTAATATTTATAAATTTTAAAATAGAATGATAAATTTTAACTATATATTAATATATTATAATAATCTATAAATTAAATTACTCATATTAATCAATAAAAAAGGTAATATAAGTTATGAATTATTATTATCATTATTATTAAAAAATCAAATATTTAAAAAACAAGTTATATCTTTTGGATGGTGGTGATAAAGAAGGAACCAAAACGAACGACCCATGCTCGCCCCTAACTTGTGTTTGATCCCACGCCTTTTGCAAGATGCTGACCAAGCATCTTTGTGTCGGGACCAATCACTTGTTACGCCTTCATGCTCGGGGTTTTATTTCTGATTTTTTATAAAGATCTCATATTAATTATGGTAAATTACACTTATTTTTTAATATTTAAGAATAATATTTGAAATAATCCAAGTTTGAAACGCCATGCTGGAGAATCGAGAGGCTAGACCAATCACTTGTTCACTTTTGTTGATCGTTGATTTGGTAGAAAGAGGAAGTAGTCAGCAGTCAATCATTCAACCACGCTGATTGTTTGGCTGGACACCCGTTTGATCCTTATAGGATCATGGGTCTTCTTATACTTACCACATCAATGCCACGAGTCCATTGTTTTTCATTGCTTTTTCCCAAGACTTTGGGGGTAGTGTCAAATTAGCATCCGAAACTTTTAAATATGTTCTTATAGTATTCAAATTTTCAATAAGTGTCAAATTGGTCGTTATCGTTAATTGACAGTCAGTTATTCATTGTCTTCTACCTTGATACTGGGAGAATTATGACTGGGAGGCGATATGGCATTTTTGGCCGAAGGGTCAAGGAGGATGAAATGATCTCTACAAAGAATGACAGCACTTATCACCGGAGGAACCCGAGGGAGTGGGTCTCTCTCTCTGGTAGTTTGTTCATGATTCACTCAGTCACTCTATGAATTTATGTAATGGTGGCATGTGTTTTTCATCGTCTTTTCAAGCATTCTATCGTGAAAGACCTTACTATCATCTTTGGAGCATTTGTACATATTTGTTGTCACAATAAAATTGAGCTCAACCAGGCCTTATAGAGTAAATCGGGTCTCCAAGTCATTAGTTCAGTCTGCGATGTATTGGTCCAACTTCAACGGGAGAAGCTCATGGAAGAAGCTTCCTCACTATTCAAAGGGAAGCTTAATATCTTAGTGAGTATAGTCGTCTTCTTGTATAATTCCAGTAGATTTCCAATGATGTATGGTCTTCTTGTCCTTGGCAACATCTTCTTCTCCATTTCCTTTTCTTTCAAATTTATATCTTTCTTGCTTCACCAATTTCAGACTTTATATTCATTTGCAACAACAGCTTTTCTTCCATACAAGAATGCCTTTTAATGCCAAGTTGCTTTGCCCCAGGAGTAAACATTGGCAAGCCAACAGTGGAGCAGACTGCATAACGTGGAGAGTTGGAGTGCAGTCCTCAGGTTTTCCAGATCCGAGGCAACATTCAACAGCCGTCGATGCCTCTGCACCAGCATTCACTAGCCATTACAATGGCCGGAGAGCCGCCGGAAAACGAAACAACCTTTGCTATCATGCCGTTGGTTAGGGGTTGATCACGTTCTCGGATTTTAGAGCTTTTGGCTGTGTTTGTTTGTGATACAAACACAAAACCAATAACATTTATGTACTCCGGTTCAGGTTTGTAGGCATTTGTTTGGAATAGATTTTTGTATCATAAAATGGTGGAAATTGTATTTCTTGGCAGTTTCGTTTCGAGAAACCGAGACATTTCCATATTCATTTTTTCGATATAAACATTTGCTTTCTTCAAAGAGAGAGTAATCAAGCTTAACAGATGCATCAATCGTTCATGGGAGGTGGTTGCCGTCACTGCTAAACCCTATCACAACGACAAGTTATCGTCGTTTATTTCCTGCCACGGCGACAACAAATCTCACTAAAAATCCATCAAATATTACCAGTAAACATGATTTTCCATTTTCCATCGAATAAGTTATCGTCGTTTATTTCCTTCCACTCTGAACCATTGCGTATTGGAGACAATGACCTTACTCTCAAACATAATCAGTAACAGATCTACCACCACCGTTTTTGGCAAATCTAAGTTATGTATTGATGGTACATAACAGATCTATCTTCGTTTTTATTTTTTGCACCCAGGTATATTTCAACATTTCAGGTAAACCCCATTTGTAGATCTGAAAGCATATCTACTATTTTCTCTATGGTTGTTTTGAAGCATATCCACTACTTTCATTTGTAGATCTAAAAGAATATTCCCATTTGTAGAGCATTTAATGTTGGCTCTTATGCTTTCTTCCAAACGCTATCAAAAAATGTACAGGTGTTTGCTTCGTTTGGAAACAAACAACAGCAATACAAATGGTCTTAGAAATGCTAATCCAATTTGAATTTGTGGACTGATCAGGGGCCCTTTTTTGCACTGTACATAGTTGTGTTCGTATCACAAACAAAATGCAACCAATTGCAACACTGCTTTTCCCGTGATCTGTGAGTAAGAATTGTTTCATTGATTGGAGGAAAAGATTTTGGGAGAAATTAGATGGCAGACGAAGGACATTTTTATTCTTTTATAAGATATTTAATGTCTATTGACGGTTTTGGACTAACTTTGAAAAAAAGTTTAAATGCTGCATTCACTCGTTTTCAAAGTTCAAGGACTAATTTGACACTACCCAAAGTTCAGGGTACTAAATTAGAATTTTCCCTAGGTCTCCGGCGAGTTGGGGTCGAATCCCACATGCACCGGCCACCAGGCTGGAATGGAGGGTTTTGGGTTTGGGGATGGGCTGCTACCTCCCCGTTGCTGATGGAACAAAAAACCGTCAGCTTTCCGGTGCCGCCGGCGATGTGCTCATATCGGACAAAACATTGAGACAAGGCACGTGGTTGAAACAATAAATATTGAAACTTAACAGGGGCATATCTGTCTCGCTGTTAGGAATAATCCTCCGCCATTCTGCGAGAGAGGAGAGGCCCTGGACTCACATCACACTTCCAACACAAAACTCTCTCTCTCTCTCTCTCTCTCTTCAATGCCCTTCTCTCTCTGCTTTCTATCTTGATCTTGATTTTTCTGGTAGCCGGCGAATCTCAGATAATCTCATCTTTCGTGTAGTTGGAGAATATTCATTTCTTCTTCGTTTCGGCGGTTAGTTGTCAGATTTCCGGCACTTCTCTTCGGTTTCACATCGACATCTGATCTAGTGCTTGGGCAGCGGCATCTGTTTATTTCGTCATTGAAAGTTTCAATCAGCATAGATTCCATTTAGGGTTTGCTTTGTCCCGACTTCTGAGCATTGTAGTTAGGGTTTCAAGATTTTTGGTTTTGCTTAACTTTTTGTGGGCATTCCGTCATGCCGAGGAGTTCTCGACACAAGTCCCACAGGCAACATCGGCACAGTTCTAAGGATGTTAGAGAACATTCGGACTCAGAAGAAGAGATGGACTCGAAAGATAGGAAGTGCAGGGAAGAAACTGCTGTTAGGGTTTCCAGGGATTTAGCCTCTGGGGAGAAACGCAAGCTTGTCTCTCAGTCTCAGGATGGTAAAGACGTTTTCGGTCCCGGTAATGGTGATTTGCCGGAAGAGTTTGCTGGTTCGAAGAAGCGGAAAGATAAGGCTGACATCGCAGTCACTGATCGGTGGAACGGTGGAGAGGATGAGCAGCGAGAGGATTTAATCCAAGAAAAAGAATTGAAAGGGGATGTATATGGACCTGATTCGGAGAAGGGCCTAAAATCGAAGGTTTTGGTTGATTCGAAGAGTAAATCTAGCCGAAGGAGCGAATGTGTTAACGAGAGGAAGGATGACAATGTGGGTTTAACTGGGGGAAATGAGGAGGCGAAGAGGAGCATGAGTAAGGTCGAGTCAAAGCATAAGTCAGAAAAGGATTGGGGTAGAAAAGAGGTTCAGCAGTACAAGGATGCAAGGGACAAAGACCGAGGAGCAGAAAAGGATAGAAAGATTCAAGATGTTAGGCGTGAGAGATCAGTTGATACCGTTCCAGGGAAGCAAGAAGAAGAGCGTTCCGTGAGGCGGGAAATAGAAAATTCTGGTAAGGTAACTAACTGCATCTTCTATGTTTGTCAGTGTCATGTGCCTCTTTTATATGTGGTTGTAAACATGAAATCGCTAGTTGGTTAACAGTGTTAAAGTGCCATACGAGTTAAGCTTTCTTTTTTGTTTCTTTTTTTAGGTATTTGGATTATTAAAACTGGGTTGGAGGTAAACTTAGAACTCGTCAGAAACTTAACTACTTGCTGTCATGAGAGTATATGCTAAATCTATTTGGGAAGAGAACGGGCAAAGAAAAAGTGTTAAGAAAATGGTTCAAAGTCTATTTTGGTGAAATTATTTGTATCGGTTACCAAGTTACTTGTGTTTAATAATTATTCAGCATCCAAGGAACTCCAGCTCCTGCATTTATCATCCTGTTGTTGTTGACTACCAGTTCCCTTCTTTTAGCTCTAGTGTGGTGCACTGTGCAAAATGCCGAGTGATCATCTGACATGTTTACTAATTCTCTGGTATGGGATTTGGGGCCACTATCATGGAGGGATAGTTTTGTTGGATCACTAGCTCGCATGTATTCGTGTCTTGGTGGGAACATTCAACCAGTATCATGCTTAGGAAACGTCTTTGCTGCATAGATTTTTATTTTTTTGGTATTTGCCATGAATTTATCTCTGGTTGAGTAGAGGTGGTTTATCCACTCCTGATAGGAAGATTTGATCAATATATTAATGACAAGCTCTTTTGAACACTAGTGTTGGTTTTGGGATCCTTTTGTCCACTTGTTTTTAACATATTTTATGAGCCCCGCAAATGTTCAGGGTTTAATTTTGTTAACAACAACACAGCATAGTTAAATATTATCTTACTTAATCAGATGAAAACAATATGTAACATTTATACTATATAAAGTGGATAATTGCCTTTGTTTTGGTGCATGTTATCAAAGTTAAAATTTGATTACATAATAATGTTAACTTTTATCTTTACCCTTTACTTAGTACACTACATGTGCATAACACATTTCCTTACACTAGTATAATTAATAATTATTTTCACCAGGCAAAGATTTAACCTAGGTAACAACTTTTCTTGATTGGCATGTTTGACTTAAGTGCTATTTCTTTGCAATTGTCACCACTAAGCTAGCCTGTTTCCCCTTCTTTGAGCAGCCATTTTCTTCACTCAGTTGTAAAAGTGGGCATCTCTGGATATGATGCAATCAACCATTTAGAAAAAAAGTCGTAAGTGTTTTTAACATGCAGTTCAGAATATTTGAATTGCATGTTATAATTCATAAAATTTTTGAACCATGATCTTCATTATTTTTTTTTTGAACTATGATTCAGCAGCGAACCAGTTTTCCTGTTTGAAACTCACAGATAATGTGAGTGAAAATTTAGATGGGTTAATTTTGGATGATTCTGGGAACTAAGTTTATACTATCTCATTGACAATGCTCCAGTTTGATGGGAATTTGGATTTCAAGAGTTTTGTAGGGATTAGAAATGGTGGTTGTAAGATATTGTGAGTGGTTAGGAGACATTGCACTGACTTTGAAGGAGGCATGCATAAGAACTGAGGCTCCTGTTTGGTGCATAAACTTTTGTGGAAACAGAGATTGGAACAATCAATTGGTTTCTTTAGGGAGTCATGCAAGTGGTATGTTGCAGGACTGTACACTAGGATGTAAAGGAGACAGGGAGTCATTTAAGTAAAAAAGGGAAAACCTTTATTATCTTTATATGGATTAAGGCTTGTAAGCTAAGATCATTCTTAGCTTCTCAGGCCCAATTGCTGCAGGTAATTCTTTAAGGACTGAGATTACAGCACTCCTAGGTCTCAGAATGGTCTTATCAACCAACTTATCAAACTAAGATGGTAGGGACGGACTTGTATGTTGATGATATTCTGGTACTCATGCTTGGGGAATTAGGTTTTCACTTTTATTTCATTAACAAAATCAGTTATTGATAGAAAAGTTCGTAGACTAGGTATCAATGAGAGGGGTTTTTAATCCAGATATGTGGTTTTTGCTGCTTAAAAATTTACACTGCATCAGGACTGAGGGTCCAGTGGGCCCATTCAAAATTTAAGAAATACTCTGCACGTATCCATAGCTTTATATAGCATAATTTAGGGGTGATCATGTGCCAGGTTGGTTTGGGCCTGGGTCTGGGCCTATATGGGCCTGAACCAGGCTAGGTTCTGGGACTGTAAGGCTGTAATTTTAAAGACGAAATATTAAATATATATTATAAAACATATCAAATAATATATGCATAAAATTTATGTTTTACTTTATGTAATATAAAATATTATATATAATATATTAATATGTATTATATGTTTCATATTATACTATTTATATATGCAACATTAAATATAAAATAAAATGGCACATAAATTTTTTTTGGAAAAAGGTAAAGTAATTTATTCAGAATAATGAGAAAATTACAACAAGGCCCAGACCACATAAATTTGTATATTTAACTTATATAAATAATTGCTGGCCAGGCTGGGCTGAAAATTATCATCTCTAGCATAATGATATTTCATCTCGTCTTCTTACAATTGTTTCATTTGTTTTGCCCAATTGCTTCCTTGTTCAACTTTTGTGAATTTTGCTATTTTGATTGCTTTCCTTTAAGTAGTTTTATTGTTAATCCAAGTCCTTTTTTTGATTGCTAACTGGACAAAACCAGCTTTGTTACTAATAAATAAAGACTTGAAAGAGGATACAATCATCTAAGAGTACCCATGCCAGGGCCAGATGCAAAGTCTCCCAAAGGAGGCCAATCAATAAAGAAGCAAGACATAGAAAGCAAGATGAAATTCCAAGTCCTTTTGTTTGGTTGTATGGTTTATGTTCATGCATATCGTTTTTCCCCTACCATATTTTTTTTCACAAGTTCATAACAGAAATAGAGGTAAACCATATTGTTCGCATTGTAAAAGTAGAGTTGTTTGGAATTTTGGATAAATGAATAGGTGGTGGGGGGCTTTTAAAGATGGTTATATAATGTTTGTGGTGGCTTGTCTGAAGCTTGGGATGGGAAGTGGATGTTTTAAAGAAGACAGGATCTTTGATGGTGTTCTGAACTTATATAATATTTTAAAATTCTATGTATTATAGAAGTGAGAAAGTTGGGAATTTGTTGATTTATCAGCCATTGGGTGATGCTGGTCAGCAATCTTAGGCCTCAGAAAGATCTTTGCTGGGACCAGTGTTCAAAAACCAAAGCATCTGTTGACCTTGGAAAGCTGGATGAATGGCATGTTTGGCAGTTCAATTGGGCAGTTAGCCTGGTGAAATGGTCAAAACTCAAATCTATCTGAAATCCAGGATTGGCCATCTGTTCACTAGCTGAACTGCATGAGTCAATAACAATTTGAAAAAACTCGTTTCAACCCATTTTTTGTTCAAATGTGAGAAGCACAACTAAACCACTAGGACTGAGCATACCTAGAACCTGAGCTACAAGTAGAAGTGCATGCTTAAGCAAAGTGAGGCACTTCCTTCAAAAAAGAAAACAAAGGAACAGACACAAAATATCATGCAAATTTAAATTCTGAAAAAACAAAATATTTTAAAAAATCTACTAGCTCAATTGATTAGTGTATTGTTGTTATTAACCCAAGGTTTGTACCCTTGTACATTCAAGTCCTACATATGCTAAATTCTTTGAATTCTAAGCATAATTAATAGACCCTATGGCCTACAATATGGTAAAACACATATTCATAAAATTTCATCAAAATTAGCACCAAGTGATGTGAGGTGCACCTGACAAATTGAAACTCTCTTATGAACCTTTAAAAGCACTTTTTAAGAAGAGAGAAAATTATTAGGAAAAAATTGTATGATACACTAGAGAGTGACCACCCCGTACCAAGTACGGGGCCGTGTACTTTGATATTTTTTGTTTGACACCCATTATTTATGTTGTAAGTTTAATTTTTTTCATATAAATTTGTTATTTAATTTAAACTTCTCAAGCAGGTTTTATTTCTATGCAATGACCCACTTTATGAATGCGTTGTTTCTTTTTCTTTTTAGTGGAGGTAACTACCACTAACCTTTCTGAGAGTGGAGATAACTACCATTTGAAGTTCATAATTTTTATAGAGTGGGTAGACACATGTCTGAAAAAGAATGCTTCTATATGAGAGTGGAAATAACAACCTTTTTGATGATGCCACTTGTCAGGAAGAGAGGGCTTGTGGTCTGGGGCCTTTGTTTTTATGTCTGTGTTCACATATCAACAAACTCCTAAAAAAGATGGCTCTCAAGCATGCTAAACACCAAAAACCAGAAAACCACATTAGGCTTTACCAGAAGAACACACAAACTGACACCTGGTAAAAAAACCAAGCTCCTCATATTAATCTGCAACTTACAAAGATTTTGAACCAATCGAGGGCTGGCTCATTGGTGTGTTAGCTGGGTTGCTCCAGCATTGACGCGGAATCAAGTCCCGCAACCAGCACTTTGGAAAAAAAAGGGTAAAGGGGAAAGTTATGGGTGATTAATCAAAAACAAAAAAAAAATTACAAAGATTTTGACCTACCCCCTTACAGCTTCTTCCAGCTCTCTCCTTTTAGATCTATCCTTTGGTCTTCTGTGGTCCACCTTCTTCTTTCCCCCATTTAAAGAATCTTTCATATTTTGTTGACAGGCATCTTTTCAGGCAATGATAGGATGTGTTTTGGGTGGGAATTCACCTCTGAAATCAATGTTTTCAAACTGTCATTGATCCAGATGGTTCTGGAAGCAAGACTGCTTCCATTTTACTCAAACCAGTTAAAAGAAAAAAAAAATGTTGACCCTTCTGGTTAAGCAGGTCTCAACCCAGTTTGTGGTTATCAGTGATGGCAACCAGAGATGATGACCATTGAAAACAGAGAGTGGGGGTGAGGGGAGGGAATTTTCAATGGTCTCTTCCTTTCTTTCATTAGTTATTCTACAAAAAACTTAACTCATTATTCCTATCTAAGGGCTAGAGCATATAATCTGTTTTGGCAGTTTGGCCCATTCAATCTGGATGATCAAATTGGTGAACTATCACCTGGACAGAAAACTGGATCAGGTTTTAAAACATTGTCTAAAATACAATTAAAAAGGCAAACAGAAAATTGCATGATACACAAAAATTGTGTATCATGTGATTCAAAAAGGCAATGCACATTGAGTAAAAAAGAATTGTCTTTTGAAAATTGACTCTGGACATCTATAGGAGGGGTTTTACCTTTCAAAAGTGGCCAGGTGTGTTAACTCTAAGGGTTTAGCATATCAGTGAGTCAGTGACCCTGACTGCCTAAAATCCAATGATACACCCAATACACCCTGTCTGTATCGTATCAATACTTTCAACCTTGAGTAAACAAAAGTAATCAGCAACCAGTTTTCCTTCTCAATCTTTTTTCTTTGAAATACAGCTGTTTCCTTCTTTCCACACCATCTTTAATCAGAAATATTAGGTCACATCTTGCAAATTTTTACCTGCTGGGATGGATTTCTTTAGTTATCCTCATTGTCTTCTGATCCTTGTGCTAAATATGGATTTATCTTCGGAGTCTTGAGCATAAAAGGAAAAGTATCCAAATGAAATCCAGTATGCTACACTCCAATAATAGGTGGAACACCTTTCCCTCTTATTTTCTACACATTACACATCTGTTTAGTACCTGTAACCTCTTAACTTAGGATGATCAATTGTTAAAATGCTGTCCGCTGCTAGTGGGTAGAGGGGAATTGAGGTGGGGTTAATACCTGTTGGGCTAATACTAATCAATGTATGGGAGGCTCTTAGTAGAGCAGGGGAACCACACAACCTGCTCTCTTCTCTTACATACCCCATAAGAATCTCATGCTTTCTAGTATCCAACTAAAAACTAACCACCCTGTAGTTGCATGCGACCGCCCTTCCCCAGAGTGAGTCTCTCTCTTCCTACAAAAACTCTGTAACCACTTTGCCAACGATGCCTTGTTTAGTTCATTGATTTTTCCAATTCCCAAATCCCTGAAGAAGAACCTTGCAGATTTTCCTATTGAGATTGTGGAATTTAGGCTTCAAGATACTCATCCCTCCAGCTGATCGAAAAAAAAAAGAAAAGATACCTCATCATCTCCACAAAGAATAATTGCTGAAGTTGATTTCTCACCTGATGATGACAGAAGATTTCTTGCTTTTGTTTCTGGAGCCTACTGCTCTTCCTCTAACGAGTAAAAATATTCCTTGGCTTTAGAGCACATGCCTACCTTGTTGAGTAACTTTTTTCATTCTGTCCCCCACTCCTTCCTGCATCATCAAACTGTCGTTTTAATTTGATCAGATAAAGTTCTCTGACTTAATTTTTCTTATTCCCTTGATGATGTCATGTTAACCCATTCAACATCAGACAATCCTTTTTGTCTGAAACATACTAACTTTAACTTATCTTCAAAGAGATGAACCACCCTTTGTGGGTAAAAAGATTTGATAGCTCATACTAATCATTGGTGTAGTGCTTTCCAAACATTAAGGGAAATAGAGAACACGGGTGGCCTGATCATGATAAGCTCCACATAGTCAACCTGCTGGGCGTAATGCAAATAGGATCTTATTTCACAGCATTTGTATAAAATAGGACCATGTATTCTCTTCCTATATAAAGTAAGATGTAGAAAATACCTACTTGTGTGCCATATGATGGTTGGAAGGTTTGTACCATTTCTTGTAACAAAAATACTTGTACATTTGGACAGGAAATGGCCTTAAAAAGTGAAAAAATAAAGAAAAATCTGGAATAGTGTAATTTGATGCCTTAGTTGAATTAATTGTTGCTTTAAATTTTTGGGAAAATTCAATTGAAAAATTGCAAAAGGAGTTCTTATGGGGAGTTAAAGGGATTGAGAAGAAATTCCACTTAGTTAAGTGGGATAAAGTGTGCAAGGAAAAAAAAAGATGGGGGCGTGGGGATAAGAAAATTGAAGATACTCAATAAAGCCCTCTTAGGGAAATGGTTATGGAGATTTGGGTTGGAGAGGGAGGAGCTCTGGAGGAGGGTGGTGGCTTGCAAATATGTGGTTATTGGATTTGGGTGGGACCCTAAGGAAGTGAAGGCATCTTATGGGGTAAGTGTGTGGAAAGGGATTATGTGTTTACAGTTAGCTTTTCTCAATCTTGTTTGCTTCAAAGTTAGTGATGGTTCAACAATTAAATTTTGGGAAGATGCTTGGTTGGGTGTTGGAAAGTTGTGTGATCATTGCCCTCGCCTATATAGGTTGGTTTTGGGTATGAAGAATAATTCCATTGTAGAGAATTTTGAGATTAATCAAGGTAGAGCAGTTTGGTGTCTAAAATTTAGGAGGTCTCACTTAGATTGGGAAATTCAATAGTGTGTATATCTTCTGGTAAAGTTTACAATCAGCCAAACCTGAGGTGGAAAGAAAAGATTCACGATGGTGGAAAGAATCTAGAAATGGTCTGTTCTCAATCAAATCCTTCTATAAGTCCCTCTCAAGGTCAACTGGAGAAGATTCAGGGTTGAAAGGCATTTGGAGAAACCCTATTCCCCCAAGGGTAGAAGCTTTTGCTGCTAGTTGCTCTTGATAGCATCTTGACTTTAAATCATCTTAACTACCAAAAAAAAAAGATTTTAAATCATCTTCAAGACAAGGGCTTTCACTTAGCTAGAAGATGCTGTCTTTGTGAGAATGCTGAGGGGAATGTCTTTCATTTGCTGGTTGAGTGCCTCTTCTCCAAGTTCATTTGGTGGAGGAAATATTCTCCAAATGGCCTAAGATATCTGGAAATGACAAGGCAAAGATCACTTGGAACTGCATTCCTTTTGCAGTTTGCTGGGAACTTTGGATTGAAAGGAATAGAAGAATATTTGAGGGGAAAGCTCGCTCAAGGGAACATATAACACTTCTTTGTGGCAAGTGAATTATGGACTGGATTCTTATTCTCCCTGAGTTTGAAGGAATTACAAAGGAAAATCGTTGTGCTGGATTTTTGAACACTCTGCAGCTGGCCTGATTCTTTTCTTTTTGTTTGTACGGACTATATTTTTTTCCCCTTCTCTCTTAGTGTATCTTTCTTTTATTGTGTTTTTCTTTGTAGCTTTGTTTTCTAGTGATACCTCGTCATTATCAGATGCACTTCTTTTTTCTATTAATTAATTTTCCTTTTTATTGATTATCAAAAAAATTTGGGGAAATGCAAAACCATGTTTGTCAATTCATTTGTGAGTTCATCTTTGTTTTGATTGGTTGTACATGTGATATCATGTTATTATTCATTTGTAGTTAACTATTTTAGCTCCCATTTTTAGTTTTCAGAGCAAGATAAATCATTTGAGCTGAGAAGCATGGGTCTTTATGATACTGTTATTAACTCTGTTCTTTGGAAAAGCACATCGGTTTTTTATCAATAACATAAAAAATATAGCCAACTGACAAGCAGAGGAATACTAGTTAAGAAGCTACCCAGAAAAAAAGGAATACTAGTTAAGCAATTCCCATTTTTTATTGGTAATAATGGGAATTTTGTTAATAAAGATAAAGAGTTTAAACAAGTTAATTACATGTTAACTTCCTTGCTAAGGTACTTGCATTTGTTAATGTGCTCATATTCTTTTTGTCCTCTCTCTCTCTCTCTGTCAGCCTTAACTCTTTTTATTTATTTTCTTTGAAGAAAACCACATAAAATGTTACTTATAGCTTTTACTTTTCAACCTGTTTATTCCAACTCTGGTGCATGTATTGAAGTTTTTCTATGTCAACTCTCTAGATTATAAGAAATTTATATTTGATCTGTTTATAAGAAGCCTTTTTTTCCTTCTATGCTTAGTTGTTCTTTTACCATTTCTTATAGGAGTTGTGTTCACATCTTTGATCTACTTGTGTTTATAGAGTGGCAGATACAAGATGAATTACGCAATCCTGAATTGGAGAAAGAACTTGAGAAACGGATCAAGCATAGGAGAGACAGCTCTCATGACAAGAACAAATATCAAGAAGATAGCAGGGATGGTAATGAGAAAAGATTGTCTTCTAGAGATGATCGTTCCAAAACCGGGAAATATAAAGATGAAAGGAATAGAGATGAAAGGCATAAAGATAAATACCAAGAAGATACGGATAGGGATCACAGATACTTAGATAACAAACAAATGGATGAACGTTCCTCGAGAGATCACATGAGTAGTAGGTCTGATTCTAAGCATTTGAGAGATGAAACTAGATCTGCAGAAAGCCGCCATAGAAAATCTAAACTTCAGGACATTGATGATGATGGTAGTCCACATCGTGACAGCCGAGGAACCAGATATAAAGATGAGAAGGGAAGAAAAAGGTCTTCGGATGATAATGATGATAATAGTGAATTTAAGTCCCGAAGTAATAAGGAACACCGTTCTGATTTGGAAAAGAAATCATTGAGCAGTAGTAAAGGAGAGTCACCTGCTGATGGGGGAAGGTCCCAATCACGACATACAGATGTAGACTCTACTGTAAGCAATAATAGGATGAGGTCCCCCAGCTCTTCTCATGTTTCCAAAGATCAGGACAGGTATTTCCCTATTCTGCATTTTTGAACTATCTTCTTTTACTGACGTCTGGACAACAGTAGGAATTGTTCTGGATGAACTTTAACCATTGGGAAGCATCATCTGTTATTCCAGGGCTTTGGTGACAGTGCCCAAAGTAGTATAATATAATTGGCCATTGTGTTCTTTCTGTTATTGTATTACCTCTTATTTAGACTTTCAATCATGACCCGACTATTACAATGGCCAATTCCTTGTGTTTATGAGTTGTATTAATTTTCTCTGTGGTCTGGATTGTCATTGATGGGTGCATGTATCGAGTAAATATTGGTATCCTAATCTCTTGTTCCTTGTCAGAAGCATAGTTTGTTCAGTTAGTAGGTTTCAATGGAGGATTTAAAATTTTTCCAGAGTATATTTTAACCTTTTTCCAAAACTGGAAAAGTCAAATTTCATTTGTCTAAATGACATGTATGGAAAAAATGCCTTTTTAAAATTTCTGCAAAATTTTCTTATATTGTTTTGGTTTTGTATTTCTTTTTAAACATGATCTTCCTATTTATTCTCCACTTTCCTTTTTCTTCTTCTTATTCACTAATCTGTCCTATTTTATCTAGGTGTCTTTATATTAAGTTTGCATACATTTTTTTTATTTCACAACCTTTCAAAGTCAAAATGAAACTTCAAAATTTCGAAATCCTTGGTTGCAATAACACATATTTGTTTAGGGAAATGGTACTTTGTGCCAACCCAAAAATATTCTTGAAGTTGAACCTTGACCATGATTGCTTCATATTTGTCAAAGAGAGGGTTAATCTGGAGCCCAACCAGAAGGAGGTCTACCAGACCTCAGGCCCTGTTTCGGTTTGGATGGATTATGCATCAACTGTGCATGTGTCTATAAAACTGTGTGTTTGCATAGGTATGCTTGTGAATTCTTTTATTTAGACCAAGTCGGCACATGTAAGAAAAATACATAAAATTATAACCTACAGGAGAATCCTTTCTTCATTGAAGTAACCAAACTTTAGTAAGAGCTTAGAACCATATATTTATCCATGTTTTAAGTAGTAAACATGTTTGTGCAATGCATGTTTGAGTAGGAGAGTTCAAGGGTCATTGGAGTGCATGCTCCTATTAAAAGACAATGGATGCCCTAATTTGTAATGACAAAAGATTATAGGTAGATATGGGTGTGTTTGTCTTATGATTAACCTTTTTCTTTTTCTTGATGTTTAAAGTGCTAAGAATATTTGGTATCTGTTTGATTGGCTTGACTTTTATTTAATTATTTTAAGTTTTTTTCTTTTATTAGAAAGTTAAGACTTACACAAGGACAAAAGAGAAATAGAAGGATAATGAGGCACAAAGCTTTTTGTTGATGCAGAATAATACCAAATTCCTTTTAATGTGCAAATCTTTGGTCCTTTTTTGCAGTCCTAACTTTGATTTCTTTTTGGATTTGTAGAAAGATTTATAGACTATACTGAGTGGATTTGTTGTAGTTTTAAGTGTCGTGTTTGTAGATAATGTTATATTTTTTGAGCAATGCTAACAAGCATCATTGCGAAATATTTAGAATTATACAATTATGAAATGATAAATCATCTTTTTATTAAGATGATTGACAGAAAAGGTTGGAGAGAAGAAAAGAGATTTCCTTATGGTTTTCATTGATCTAGAGAGAGCAAATGGTAGACTACTGGTAGTCCCTAAGGAGGTAAAATGGTGGGTTTTGGAAAAGAAAGGACGCCTAAATAGGTATGTGGACCTAAGTAAGAATATGTATGAGGGTGCAAAAACTAATGTTGGAACACCTGTGGGAGAGGCATCAGATTTTACAGTTACAATGGGTCTTCACAAAGGTTTAACACTTAGCCTCACAGTGTCTGATGTTTGCTGATGACATGGTATTAATTGATGAAACTAGTGAAGGATTAAATGCAAAATTAGGTTTACAAGCAACTGCATAAGAAACAAGTGGAGCTTACCAACAGAAGTTCGCATGATCTTTGACCAATCTACTTTCTCTTGGCCTACAAAAAGAGGGAGACTTATGTGGAGATGCACTTGGGCTGCCCTGATTTGGACTCTTTGGGAAGAAAGGAATGTTAGAATTTTTCAAGAAAAGGAAAGGAGCAGTCAGGAGCTGAAAGACTGTGTGTTGCATAGGGCAATACTTTGGCTGGAGACTTTGGAGAAACTGGTCAGCAGTAGCGAGGTGTTCACCCTTAAAGGACAAGTTAATTACAAGCTGGTCTCCTCCATCTGAAGGCTCACTGAAGTTGAACTTTGATGGAAGTAGCGTGGGTAGTCCAGGATTATCCGGAATGGGGGGTGTTCTGAGAAATGAGAATGGAGAGATTGTCTTGCTTTACTCTGGTCCTTTAGGAGTTGGAGACTATCAGGGCAGAGCTATTAGCTGCTGTACAAGGGGTGCAATTTGCAAACCTGCTGGGGGTACAACACTGATAATTTAAGGGAATTCCAAGGTGGTGGTGGGCTGGTTGAAAAATCCTGAAGATGCTATGTGGTGCTACAAGAATGAAATACAGAAATTCAATTGGTTGACAAGGAATATGTTGGTCTCTTTACAGTGGGTGGGGAGATTAGCAAATACTTTGTCTGATGTATAGCCAAGCAAGGGGTAAATAAGGAAGAATTGTTTTTGACTCAGCTGTGATTCCTGTATTTTTTTCCAAGTTTAATTGTAAGATTCTAGGAGGGGCTGCAGCTCGTGCCTCTCCCTTGGATGTTATATGAAGTCAAAAATCTAAATCAGTTTTTGAATTAATAAAATTTTACTATTACTCATAAAAAAAGTTAGATTAAAACCATGGTTTTCAAAAACTGGATCGGACCAGACGGTCGGGCCGGAAAAACCGGGAACCGGTCAGGTGACCAGTTCCATTTTTCACCAAAACCGGATTTTTTTTCCAAAAAAACGTTGATTTGGTCAACAAACTGCTGACCTGGGCGGTTGAACCATTCGAACCGTTCAACGGTTTTGACTATTTTTTAATTTTTTTGTCAGAATGAGCTGACCATACGACCCGGGAACCAGACCCCTAACCGGTTTGTTATCCGGGGCGGTTTTAAAAACCTTGATTAAAACAGAATATATGCAATGCAAATTTAATAATAATAGGTGTGCAAATCAGAGTACACTTAGGATTGGAGACCAAGAGATAACTCGGTGTGACCTCTTTCATTACCTTGGTTCAACAATTCATAACAAAGGAGAGATTGAGGATGTTGCCCAAAGAATTACAACAGGATGTCCTTCCTTGGAAGGGGTGTGTTTGGAAGGTAGTAAGAGGGATGGGAGAATCTGGACCCCTCACCCTTGGATAACTTCTCTTATGGTTCCTTTCTTTCAGCCCTTATTCAATCAAGTGAAAACCAAGGGCCTTCCTTTCCATCCAAAGAGATTTGATGTAATTCTATTCCGCTCAGGGTTGGTAGCTTGTGCTGGGGAATGTATTTGGAAAGAGTTAATACTTTTGAGCTACTGCAAAGAAAAAGGACCCCATTGGTGCTTTTCCCCTCACTGGTGCTCCCTTTGCGAAGTTAATGGTGAGAATTACTATCACTTATTAATTTCCTGCCCTTTTTCTTCAATTTGGGTGCAGGTGGAACCCTCCTCCTAGTGTACAAAGCCTATTTGCTTTTAACTTCCTAAGCTGGTCAAAAAAGAGGGGAAGAATACTATGGAGATGCACAAGGAGAGCGGTGTGTTGGACAATTTGGGAGGAGAGGGATCAAAGGCTTTTCCATGAAAAATCAAGGATTATAGAAGCTGTCATCGAAGCTATCACCATCAAGGTAGTCCATTGGGTAAAGACGTAAAGTCTGGATATTTTCAGAGATGTTCCTGGCATTTAGGTGATGAGGAAGTGGAGGGACATGGTTGTTTCTGCTCCAGCTAAGAAGGTGGTCAGGTCATTGTGGTTCCCACCCTTTAGTGGTTTCATTAAACTTAATTTTGATGGAAGCAGTGAAGGAAATCCAGGTCCTTCTGGCATTGGAGGAATTTTCGGGAATGAAGGAGGAAATATCATTGCTCTCTTTTCAGGCCCAATTGGTGAAGGGGATTCCTTAAGGGCTGAAGTTATAGCTGTTATTGGAAGGGGTCCAAAAGGCTAAAGAGCTGAATGTCAGGAAGTTGGTGATAGAAGGTGATTCGAAGCTTGTAATTAGTTGGCTTCAAAAAGAGGAGGAAAAAGAATGGTGGTGCTACATTCATGAAAAGAGAAAAGTGGTTAAATTGCTGCAAGGGGTAGAGGTGTCTTGTAATTGGGTTAAAAGAGATGCAAATATTGTTGCTGATACGCTTGCTAAACAAGGGGTGGGAAGTAATGAAATATTTTGGGCTGTTCTGTAATCTTCCTTTTTGGGGAGAGCTAAGAGTGTTTGTCCCTCCCCCTTTTTTGTACTAAATTTCTTCTTTTAATAAAATCTGTCCTGTTATTGATCCAAAAGAAAAAATTATAGCAGGATGGGCAAAACGAAGGGGTACATCTGGAGCCTTATGTGATATGTAAACACCGCTTCAGCTAAAAGGAAAATTCTATATAACAGTTGTAAGGCCAATTATGTTATATGGAGCAAATGGTTGGGCAGTTAAGAAACAGTTTGTCCAAAAAATGGATGTGGTAGAAATGTGAATTTTTAGATGGATGAGTAGTAAAACTAGAAAGGACAGGGTTAGAAGTAAAGTCATAACTAGGAACATAGGGGTAGCTCCAGTAGGTAACAAAATGAGAGGTGATTGAGATGGTTGGATTATGTGCATGAAAGACCATCTACGGTTACTTTTAGGAAAAGTGGTCTCTTACACGTTAAAGGGGTTAGAGGAGCTAGGGGTAGATGAATTAGCTTTTGCATCCTCATGCATATTCTGTGTCAGTACCAACGGAAATGGAAATATATCATGGAAGTAATAGGAAATATGTCTACATTTTAAACCATGTTTATGGAGCACAAAAATTAGGAATGGCACACAAAATTGTTACATACTAGTGCAACCTTTTTTTTTTCTTTTTTGATTAGCAGCTTTTACATGTATTCATCAAGAGATAAATAGGAATATTTACAACATCAATACTTAGCCATCCCAAAAACAATATTTAGCCTTGCCTAGTGAGCCATCCTATGTATGAAAGATATAGAAATTATCCTTTACCCTTGGGGTACCCAATACAATTTTCTTCCGTTTATCCTTGTTTTGCGGGCCCGTCTAAAATAGTATTAACCAATCTAAGAGTTCACCTTTATACTTCTCTCAACTCTAAGGCCAGATTAGAGATTTCCCTTACACATGCCTATATTTCCATGATCCAGCTTCATTAATTTTTAGCCACCCAATAACATCGGAGTCCCCTTCATTATTTTTTAGCCACCCAATAGCTGCAGCGAGAATTTCAGGCCAAGTTGATTCACCTTTCCCTATCGGGCCACAAGGCAAAAGTAGGAAGCTGTCTAAGATCTTAGCCCAATGTGCAGCCTTGCTTTTTCATGTTCTCATTGTTTCAATACAATATTTTCATCCTTGAAGAGTCTAGCTTTCTTCTCTCCCAAATGCACTAAAGGATGACAGCCCTTGTACACCTTGACACAAATTTCCCCATGGATGGGGCAACCGCAGTCAAGTCTTTGAAGGTCCAAGGGTCAGGCAGTGGATTGAGCTGGTGGGAGAAAAGAAGAGAATGTTTGTGGAGATTCGTCAAATTGAGGTCCAAGAGGGGGACTGTGGAAGAGAGAGTATCCATGCTATATATATATATATATATATAGAGAGAGAGAGAGAGAGAGAGAGAGAGAGATGGGTATGGCAAGCTGTCAGCCATTAATGTTTGTACCTCAGGTAGGATTGGACTAGTTCTGTTTGGTTTCAGTACAAGGCATGTTAAATCAGGCCTGTGGCCTTTTATGTGTCTATGCTCTTACAGTGAGAAGAAAGATGATGAGAACAAATCTGCCAAGCTATCAAGTTGTTTGCACCTGCAACCAAACCAAGGAAAGAAATGCTCCCAATCACAAGTAGCCAAATGGCAAGAGATTAGTAGGTGGAAAGCATTCTCACCACTTGCTCTACAAAAAAGGCACACACACGAGGCAATAGCACCAATAAGGCTTTCTCCTTTGAACCTTTACAGGTGTTATACTTTTCATGGTAAACTTCCCAGCAAAATGCTTCAAATTTTAGGGGTACTGTCCCTCCCCCATAAAGCCTTCACAGGATTGCCTAATCAGGAAGATGTTCCAGAATGTAGGACCTTAAAGAATGAAGCACATTGGGCTAGGACTAAACATGTTCATATGGACATCTGTTTTACATGTACTTAACTTTATATCAATATTATGCATGTATTTGCTTATGTCAGTCCAGATTGGATTGCTTGGATACAGAGTTGTCATTTTCCTATGGATAGGACTTTTTGCTGCTTCATTTACATGTTTGAAGTCTCGAGTCTCTTTCTCTTTCTCTTTCATGAATTCCTTCAATCTTTTTGTCCAAAGTTTGTAGCTTCAATAGGAGTTAGATGTCTCTGATCATAGTTGTCAATATCTTAAGATTTACAACACCCATTCCTTATTCAAAATGTGAATCCTGAAGGCTCTGATTCAAATTTTACTAGAATTCCTCTTTTCTTTGAATAACTTACGATTCTAAATATTCCCTTAATTTGTACAATTAAAGCAAATTGATTTGGAATTAGTTTCACATTCTATCATTTGTTTAATTTTTAGGGGCTCTTGTTTTAGAATACATACTAAAACAAAAAACTGTGTTTATTTAAAATCTGTTTTGAGTTTATGTTTCCATTAATATGTGAGTTAAGGTGCTACTGCCATTATGTCTGAGATAACCTACTTTCAAGTAAAACATAAATATAAATATATAATCATATATTGCCTTATATTTGATAAACTTTTTGCCAGCAGACAAAAGTACATTTAGAAAAATTGGTGGCATCATTTACTTGTGCAGTGGATGAAGGTTGGCAATGGGGCGTAATAATTTTTCTGTTTGCTTACATTTTTATTAGATATGCTTACCTTTTTAATCAAATTCTAAGAAAACAAAAGTTTATCACCTTTGATTATAGGATTCACAAGCTTATTTTAAGTCAATCTTCTCTACGATTTGGAATTCTTAAAGTTTGTAATGGTTAGCTTAAGAACAAGCATTAATTGGAATGCTGAGATCTAGATTTATTGTGGAACTTTGAAAACAGTATGCAAAACTTTCCTGAAACATGGCTATTGTTGTAGTGGAAAATTTGCAGTGGCTGTTGAATGTTAAAATTTCCAAATATTAGCTCAATAAGAATGTTTTATAAATGCATTTGGGGCCAGTAATTATAACTTTTTTCTTCCATCATAAGTGAATCATAAGTTTGGACCCATTAACCATTGAATTTGTTGTCATATTTCCAGGCATAGCTCCAAGCACAGAAACTCGAGGTTTAGAGACTATACATCTGAAGAAAGGTTTCGGTCTAATGCAACTTCCACAATAGATGTCATTGGTGTTTCTGGTGCCATGGTACAGGCTTCAGAGTTTCAATGCTTGGAGAAGACCACCCAAAAAGAGGTCAACCATTTGGGTGAGATGTCAGCTGAAAGATCACCAAGGTCAAATGTCCATGCCACCTCACCGATAGAGTTGGTGGAAAAGTCCCCTTCATCAACAAGTATTGAACAAAGATATTCTAACAGAACCAGTGTGAGGCGGAGCCTTGATGTTGGAGAAACTGGGTGGCGGAGCACTAGTTCCAGGGATGCTGGGGATTATTCAACAAATGAAGATAGAGGAAGCCGAGAGTTTCCCTTGGAGAAGCCAATGGTAGATGATTTTTCTCAAGCCGATGGTGACAATGTATCTGTTTCATCATCTTTCAATAGAACTGGTAACTTACCTAGCAGCTCTTCATCTCTTCCTCCACCACCTCCTTTGAGAAGTGGGGTTGACAGTCCTTCACTTTTCGGGTCTTCAGATGAAGATGGTAGGGGTAAGTCTGTTAGCCGTTTCAGGAGGAGTAATGATCCCAATACAGGGAGAGGGCAGGGTAATTCTTGGAAAGGTAACCCAAACTGGCCTTCCCCTGTAACTAATGGCTTCATTCCTTATCAACATGGGCCACCACCTGGAGGCTTTCATGCAATGATGCAGCAGTTTCCTGCTCCACCTATTTTTGGTGTTAGGCCATCAATGGAATTGAATCATGGAAGTGTTCATTACCATATCCCTGATGCTGACAGATTTTCTGGCCCTGGCCATCCATTTGCGTGGCGTAATCCAGCAGATGAGTCTTGCCCCCCTCATTTGCATGGATGGGATGGAAATAATGGTGTTTTTGGGGATGATTCTCATATTTATGGGAGACCAGAATGGGATCAGAACAGACATGTGATGAGTGGTCGGGGACGGGATACAGGTGCTGACATGTGGAAGGGACAAAATGGTAGTATGAACATGGAGTTGCCCACAGCATCCCAGGAGGATTATCCAGTAGGAGCCCAAGTAGATGAAGTCTGGGCTGGACAATCAGCCCAGCGATCTCGGAATGAACGGAATAAGCCTGGTCCTGGGGCAGAAAACATTGAGATAAAGCAATCCAGTGTCACTCGTCAAGGAAAGGATATTTCTGAAGCTCCTCCAAAAACTATCCATAAAAAGCTCATCGACTCGTGTAAAACCTCAAGTGATGATGGTGATCATTTCTGCCATATTTACCTCTCTAAGCTGGATGTCTCGGTGGAACTTGCATGTCCAGAATTGTACGGCCAGTGCATGGGTGTATTGACAGCTCAAGGAAATAAAACTGATGATGATAACAATGTTACCAATCATGTCTGGAATCCAAAGGTAGATTTTGATAGAAAACATGATCTCTCCTTTAATTTTCATAATTTATTGATTGATGAGTAATGGTATTTTTCTTATTTCATTTTCTATGACAGGGGATTGCAGAAGATGGTGCAGATATTTGTTATACCACTTCGAGTGATTCATTTTTCCCTGCAATTAACAGTTCTGTTTTTGAGGTACGTTCATTTGTGATGTATGTAATTGGTTAATCCTTTCCTTTATCTGAATAGTAAAGGTGTGGTGTTGAAAAATTCTGTTGCAGTTTTGCTTCCATGTTTGTTAAGGACATAAATGTGTATTTGTACATTTATGGGCCTACTATCTTTTGACTTTCTTTGGGTGCATGGCCATTGCGCCAAACTGTCCTCTGAGCAATCTTCTATGATGAACACCATAGCCTTTACCCTAGCTTTTCTAATCTAGCATGTAGCCTGTGAGCCACAAGAAATTGTATATTTACTTGTAAAACATGACAACTCTAAAATTATGTTAATTCAAATACCATTTTCTCTGGTTTTTGCATTGTATGAGGTCACAAATGATTGAATGATATGCCACTAAAATTAAACCGTTCTATAATGAACGGTTGGGTTTAATTTGATAGATTGAAGATTTCCCTTTTGCATTTCTGATTCTATGGTTGAATTTGCAGCGAGCCATGGTCCTCTACTGGAGGCAAAGTGAAGAGGCAAAGGCCAAACCTCATGTCTCATCACATATTGACTTGGAACCAAAGAAGATGCTAGCTTCAAATGGAGAGAAAGTGGAGCCGGTTCCAACTTCCAATTGGGACACAAAGCAAGAGAAAGCAGATGAAGCAGTTCCAACTTCTGATCCGGAGAATATGGAACCATTTCCAAATCCTGGAGACAAGAAGTTTGAATTAGAGCAGCCGGTTTCAACTTCTCCTGTAGATGAGGCAGTGGAGACAGTTCCTACTCCTTGGGGGATGAGGCCAGGAGAACCAGTATCAGTTGCAGGCAATGCTGAATCAGAGGAGGCAGTTCCACCCCCCAGTCAGAAGAAAATAGAGGTCATGGCTAGTCCTAATCAAGAAAAATTGGAAGTCGTTGGGAATCACTGTTCTTCCCTTGAGAATGCCTCTGAGACTTCCAGCAATTCAACCAGTAGCCATGGTCAAACAGCCAGCAATGACAATCGCAAAAACGGTCCTGCTAGTAGTGCTACAGAAAAGCAGGCGTTTGGTGATATTATGTGTGGTCCTATAGTTTTTTCTGATGATTCTGATGCGGCTTTGATGCCTGAGTCAATTGAGTCTGGGTTGGTAAATTTAAGTCGGATACATCATTTTCCTGAAAGTACACATTGAGACATTTTATTTGGTCTGCTTTTAAAATGCCTTCATTGAAATCATGATCTTTATCATTTCATTTGCCCTTTTGTTGATAGTCTTATCATTTAATTTGCTTCCACAGCAATCTGCTTCATCAACCAAATTTTATGTTCTTTCTGCTATCCTTTTCACTGTCTTCTTTTATGAAGGAAATAGATGGATCGAGGACACCACGTTACATTTCCCTGGTTGGTTTGTCTTAAGAGAACTTGGGTGAGAGGCTGGGTTTGCAGTTTGCTGAGGGGGATCAAATTTGATGCCAAATGATCCTGTGGATGACACTTTTTCCGGAGTAACCAGGTATTTTTCTCATCTCATTTTTTGTTCCGCTCTATATATCAGTGATTTAAAAGGCACACCTAGGTGCATAGGTGAGGCACATTTTGGGGTATGCGCTTCTCCCATGTCCTAGGCGCACACATTTTGGGGTATGCGCACCCCTTTCAAAAGGCGCACACCTGGTGCGCCTTGCGCCTCAACCCAGACATGTGCCTTTTTAAATTTGTGCGTCTTTTTGCTATTTTTTTTATTTCGCTCGCTACCGAAGCTCCAAGAACCCCCTATTTGTTAGTGTTGTTCATTCATTCATTGCAATAAAATATCTTCTTAAAAGGCAATGAAAGTTATAAATTCATTATTTTTTATGTGAGAAATAAGAATTCCAGATTCTAACATAGACTTGTTCGGGCTTGCCTTGAGGGGCGTGGTACAAAGGCAACTCATAGAATCAAGAATGCAATATATTTTACATTACATTAGTTACTTGAAGCAATGCAATTAAGGAGAAAAAGAGATTGTAGGTTTTACATGCTTGAAAATGCTTTATATGTTTGTTTTTATTTTTAAGTTTTCATTTGAATACGCTTTACATGTTATGTTTATGTATTTGAACTTTAGATAATAGACTTTTTAAAACATTTATTTTAAATTTTAAGTTTATATTTTTTATTAACATTATGTTTAATATTTTTTGCATTTTTTTTTTTATTTTTAGGCATTTTTTTAATTTCCTGACTTTTTTATACTTTTTTTTGTAATTTTGCGCCTTTTTAAAGGCGCGCACCTCGCATTGCGCCTCAGGTGCAAATTGTCCCTTGCGCTTTTAAAACACTGCTATATATGCATATCACTTTTTGCAACCAAGGCCAAGTATGGAAGGAGTACAATACAAATATGTCGAGTGAAAAAACAAATTAGAGAACTAGCGAACCTTTGCCCTCTAGGAAAGGTCCGTCAATTTTTGCCGTAGTGACAAGGAAATAGGTTTGGTGAGAACTGTGGGTGAACTGAGATTTTCTTTTTCTCATCTCATTAGGGCTGTGTCTGGCTTGAAGTAAAAGGTAAAGGAAATGAAGGGAAAGGTAGGGAATCTGTTAAGGTTTGTATAGGTTTTTCTACCTTTTGCTTCCTTTATTTTTAAGCTTGCGTTCATTGATCAAGGAAAAGAAACTACAACGCACCAAAGAACACCAGAACATTAACAATAAGGCCAGGGTAGAGATCGAAAGTCAACAGAAACAAAACAGTTGTTTCTTTTTCTGAAACCGGTTCAGGGGGGCCAGTTTAGGGCTCCACCCCCTGAACCGGTCAGACCCTTGATATACCCACTGTAGAGGTGTATTGGAGGGTACGTATTGGCCGATGTATCAATACTTTGAACCTAGGTGTATTGGAGGGTACGTATTGGCCGATGTATCAATACTTTGAACCTTGGTTATGACTTATAGTTGTATCTGCCATATAGCGAGACTATCTATTTGTGTTATAGAAATAAATTATTAAAAAAAAAAAAAACAGCTTAAGTGTCGAACTTCTTCCACGAGGATCTGCTCATTCCATCTAGTTAGAGTCGCCGGCCTAGTTATCTTGTTAATTACCTATTGAGAATTAGCAAAAAGTGAGACATTCTGCAAGGATTTTTTTCCCCTTCTGAAACTGTTAGAAGGTTCAACAGCAAAACTGACCTAAAAGTCGGTCTTTGATTCATGGTCATCTATTAATTGTCCCTATAATTCCTAGTACTGTCTTGTCTTCTGATGGGGAAAGATCAGTTTAATTGGCCAGAGTTGCGTGTTTTCAACTATAAAGTTTAATTGGTCAAATCGTTTTTTTGTGCGTGTTTGTTTTTTAATTTCTTCCTTCATGGGCTATACCCATCACTTGTATACTATACGATGTTGTCTTGAACATCGTGGATCCTAGCCCCTTAATGGAATATTTGATCTGTTTTGTGGTATTAGATCCACAGTATTCAAGCTTACGTTAAATCTTTCAACCCACGTGAATGGAATACTCTTTAGCATATACTCAACCAGATCCCATCTCATCCAATATTTAGGATTTATATATTCCAGATCCGAATATATAATATTTGACCATTCTTTTAACTTAATTTAGCACTGGAATATTTGATCAAAATCCAATAAATCCGATGGATAGGATTGTATTTGAATCTAAATATTGACGAATTAAAGTTGGATCTAACTACATCTGTGAATTTATGATTTGTTCTTTTATCTATTTGCTGCCCTCGCCATTTTGGTTTAGGCCAAGTTGGAAGTGTTTATTTTAAAAACAAGTGCTTACTCAAATAAATACTTATTTATATTTGACATCCAACTTTTTCAAGTGCATGGAATGTTTGGTGTTTTTTTTTTTTTTTTTTCTCTTAGAAACACTTATTTTTTTCAACTTTAACCCTCATTTTAAGAGTCCGCATGCACAATGATTTAACAGTGTTTTGAACAGTAAATCATGCACATCTTTGTGCTTGAAATTTCAAGGAGTGAAGAAATTATTGTACACGTGGTGCTCTTAATGCACTGTTAAATTATTGTACTTTTTAAAACACTACTGTCTTGAACAATAATTTGTTTAGACAAATTTTTTGAACAACGAAGGATATAAATAGATTCATTCTTAAATGGAATAAGAGGTTTGGAAGATCGCTCAGAGAATGCGGTAATAAAACAGACCCTCTCTGAACCAAACATCTGAAGCTTTGCCCAATGTACAACAGACATCCAAACTTTTGGTAAACCCCGAGCTGAGATTTATCATTTATTGATATAATTTGTAATATTCTCCCAAGTAATGCCCCCCCACAAAAAAAAAAAAAAAAAGGAGAACATAGCTCCACTGTCGCCCCCATTACGGAATTACCCAATCTGCTTATCTTTCAGCTACAAAAACAACATATAAAAATGTCGCAAGTTGCAGAGCAGATGACAGTTCACGATGGCTTCAATTCAGGTGAATGAGAGATGAGCGTGGTATCAGAGAAGGCATTGGCTCCTTTGAGACCAATCCTTCGAATGGATTGAGTTGCATCCCAAGCCACCCAAGGAGCACAAGAGAGTACAGGAACTCAGATCACACTCGAAATCTTACCCAGCATTTAAAATGATCGGGGAAAGCAGATAAATGCAGAACAATTCCTCAATGAAAGAAAGTATGTGCAAGTTCTTGCCTTTGGTCACAAATAATACAACAACTCCAGAGATGTTGCCCTAAAATGGCACACAACACCCGCCATTTATGAAGCAGAACAAAAAAGGGAAAAAACGATAAATCAAAGCACAAAATCATTAAAACGAAACACTGAAATCCAAAATGGCAACGAGCCAGAAGAAGGGCAGTGATGGACTCGTTGGCCCATATGTTCTGTTCTCTTCCAGGAGATGACCGATCACACCACACAATACGGTGAAGAACAGAGCCAAGGCAACAACAGTAGTCTCACTGAGAAATGAGGAGGAACCAAACTTCGATAGGAATACCTGGTTGATCAGTGTGTAGCACAGCTCTGCCGCTGGTATGGTGAGAAGATGGAGAACGGAATCAAACTAACCGGCAAAGGTGAAGATGTGCCGCTGGTAGGAGAAGACAGTGAAGAAGAAAACATCAAATACCCAATCCCTACTTTTTTTACATTCGAAGGGCATAACTGGTATTCTAAAAACTAACGGGGAAAATAATACTAGAAATTTGGGCTTAAAAAATGTCTTTATTTTTAAAATAAACATTTATTTTGAGCTTCTTTCAGAAACACCAATAAGTGTTTAATGGTTTGGTCCCAGCCCAAAAAACACTTATTTTTAAGTACTCCTAAACATAGCCCTAATCAAAGTCACATTAAATATTTGGAATATTAGAGATGAATTAGTCAAAGTAATTGGTTTATTTTTTTTTTAATCATTGATGGTGCTACTAATGATGTAATCGATTTATTATTAAATGTATATGTAATTTTAGATTTAATTAGACCCGAAAAAGTTGTTTTATTTTTGTCAAAATAATAATATTGAGGTATTTGTTTTGCATTTGTCGGGCTTTGCTTTCCTAACCTAACCCAATTTGTTAGCCTCTAACTCAGAAAAGTGAAAAACTCAAAAGCCTTGGGTTATGGGCTTATGGGTAACAACTCAACTCAAAACTCAATGCTTGTCAAATGCCAATCAACAATCTGAACCCGACCTATGTTCACCCCAAAACAAACTCCCCAGTCCCCACCCCACCTTTGGAAGTTGGAAGTATCACCTAGAACAATCTTTTTGAATTCCTCAGCAGATCACCAAATTACCCATTTCAGCCGAATCAACGACAGCAGAAATGTAACTCTAATTTTTTTGAGAGAAAGACATAGGGCTCATTTGACGTGTCTTTCCTCATGGTTTTTCGACTGTTTATAAGTTGGAAATGCCGATTTTTTATTTATTCCTGTTTGGTTCATGGAAGATCTAGCCATCAAAAGACGGTGTGTCAAAAAGACGCGAAAAGCGCATTTCGGGTTGATTTCGGAAAGTTTCGTTTGAGGTTTCCCGTGTCTTTTGCATTTTAATCTCATGCGAAAAGATGTGGGCAGATGCACGGAAAGGCGTGCCTATGCCAAACTGTCTTCAGGCTGTCCAGATCTTGTGTCAAAAGCTCAATGCATCTTTTGACTATCAGAGCTACAAGAAAAATATATGCCAAACAGGCCCATAATCTAATCCTTTTCATCTCATGGGAAGGTAAAACAATGCCCCTCTATCAAAATTTCCGGTACAAAGCCTAAAAGTTATGGTATTCCAATTTCCAAGAAACGGCATCCCTCTCCTCCCGCATTTTGTACAACATTCGGCACATCTCTCTAACCACAACAACAGTCAGTACCAATGGTTTTCAAAACTGAACCGGACTAGATGGTCAGACTGGAAAAAGGAAACCGGTTAGGTCCCAAAATCGGAATTTTACTAAAAAATGTTGATTTAGTCAGAAAACTGCTAATTCGGGCAATTGAACAGTTTGAACTGTTCAGCGGTTTTAACTGTTTTTTATTTTTTATTTATTTTATTTATTTTTTGTCAAAACGGGCCATATATTGGGTTCGAACAATCAGACCGTTCAACCTGAAAACCAGAACCCTAACCGATTCATTGTCCAGTTCAATTTTAAAAACCTTGGTCAGTACACAATACACATGAAAGAAGATTACTGGTTATTAACATATTTCAATCTCCCCTGAGCCCTGAGGTTTCATGTTACCTACCACTATAGCTTAGAAAAATCCCGAACTCGGACCTTTATTTCTCTCCATCCTGCAAGTAATTACTTCCGCTTTTTCACTGTGGATGTTCAAGCCAGCTCATTTAATATTTAAAAATTTTTAATAAAATAAGAGATGTGGCTGAATCATCCACCATGAAAAAGCGGAATTGCTTACTTAGAAGACGGAGCAAATTTTTTTCCAAAATACATTCACTTGGAAATATGTAAAAAATTTATTAACACCATCTAATTAAGTCATGTCCCAACTACGTGGACTTGGCTAATATATATATATATAAACTTATAACTAATCAACAGTATCACAAAATGGTAACCAATTGCCAATTGGTATTCATCAAAATTCAAACCGGGAGGGGTCGAGTTTAAATTACCATTGGTTCCACAGCCTACTGAATGGTTATGGCGTTCGATTAATCTGAATTCCAAACTATCACCTAAAGAAAAAAAAAAGGGTTAACTACTGTAAGGATTTTTAAAACATTGCTGTGTATTTTCACTAAAGATGTTCTAGTTTATAAGAAATAGAATGTGCCCAATCAATGAAAAACAAACAACTGCTTTGATCATAATCAACTATATTTGAAAACAAAATAAAATAAAAAGAGAAGTTTCTATTCTCTAGCTCAACCTCGGTTGATTATTTGCGACTCTGGGCAGAGAGCATAAAGATGTATTTAAGAATTTATAACCAGTAAGACGTTTTACGGGCGGTGCCATTGTGGAGGAGGGTATGTGACCGCACTGGAGGCTGTGAGATCAAATCGTTGAGCCCAAGAACCAAGATCATTAGTTGGTGGGGCGTTGTTTATGGTTACCACTTACCAGTTAGGGATTGATAATAAGTCATCGCTACTGCATTAATCTGCGCTAAGTAAAGCAGCACAAGTTAATTAAGCGAAAACCAACAAAGGGGAGAAAAAGCTCTAAAGCCCTTGATTGCTGCAACATGTTAAATTTTCTAGAAAACAGTCACTGTGCACAGCTTGGGCGTAGAATGTAACGGGGTTTCTCATAAATGAAGAAACTTATAGTTGATGTGTGTAGCCCACTAGCCCTTTTGTTATGGGTGGGAACCCGCGCAAAGGAATCCAATCATCTCTTTCCTCGCTTGAGCATCATATACAGAATTCAACATTTGCTCTTTTCTCAGCCATGGATATTAAAACAACGTCACTCATGTTACTGTTACTATTAAAAAGAAAAAGAAAAAAAAAAAAAAAAAAGAAAGGTCTGCCCATGTTGACATTTTCAAATTGAATTTTGGTTCGCAACTGAACCTGCCTTGCATCGACAATTAATTAAATGAATAGACAAAACATTAGTACTCAATGGTTTGCTCTTGAATGCCATTAACGAAACCATTGACCAGATATTCTTTTCCCATCTCCAACTCCACCTGACTCAAGGGGCAGATTGATAACAGATGAAGTGGCTAAACCGAAGCCCTTTTTTCATTTGTGGTATATGAAATTTCACGTCTACATTCTGTGCTTCTAATGGAAGGCTTCGATTTTGCTGCTCAGGGAGATGAAGTCTACAAGTACAATATGGAGTGGACCCATGAGAGCTTGGTTCTTTTAAGGGACGGAAGTATTGTGACGAGGAGACCGTACGCTTCTGGGGGATTTAGGAGAAGTTGCTTGTATTGAAAACAGAGAGTTTCAGAGGGAGTTGTGAGGAGCAAATCCCGATTCGTTTCAGAGACGCTGTCTATTGACTCTGTTAATGGAGATCGGCAGTCGGTACTTGTGTGTCCGCCGTAGTACAGTGACCTCCGGACGAGACTGTAACAACCCAGGATTGCACCCTCTCCTCTTTGTGTGCGTGCGTGTGTGAGAGAGAGAGATCTCGGAGGTTGCGACTGGTTGGGTGGTTCACTGGGCACCGCCACCGCTCCTGCATAAATAAAATGAAAGTTCGTCACGCAAAATTTATCGTGATTAATGCAAGAAAAAAGATCGAAATTTCAACTAAAAAACCTACCTTCCAGACAAACCCAAACCCAATGCCTACATCAGTAAGACGGACCCCCTTTAAATCTTATTTTCGATGCTCTACATTATTTTGATGATGTTGCACAGTAGTAGTTGCTTTTATTTTATAAAAAAAAAAAAAAAATCACAGATCGAGCATCACCACCCCCCCACCAAACCCAATCACCATTAGCGGGAAACATTGCTAAATCCCCGATAAGAACAAACCTTAGGGCGTGTAAATTACGTACTCACAGGCTCTTGGGTGTTTTTCTAATGGGGATCCATGATAAAACCAGCAGACTCGGATTCCGCCTTTTCGGAGCTTCCCACACCCACAGAATTGTAGACACAGAAGATTTTTCATTTTTGAATTGAATGGGTGGGTTTGTGTAACAGATTAACAGGGTTTCCTCCATCCCCCCATGTCGTCCGAGTTCGGCGATTACATAGCAGCAACCAGCAATACAGAGAAAATCAACGGCATGGTCTAATGAACCAAAGATAAAAACATGTTCCCGACTGTCAAAAGTATTAACAATCACTTATCCGGCACTTCCATTCAGTTCGTGACAGGTATCCCATATTCCCATTCACACGTGTAACGGAACACCGAACACGGCACCGGTCAGAGACTGAATAAAAATAAGTGCAACAGATCCCGACTATATATATATATCTTTGAAACACATGTACATGAAGATGAAAGTGTCTCTACAGACTTTCCTCTTTAGGAAATATGGCCTCTGTTAAGAAGGGTAGAAAGAAATTAATTTAAAAAGGATAAAAGCTGTATGAGAATTTACACAAACTGGGACAGGCAAAATACCGAACAGCACCAGAAAACGTTGAGCCCTTATTGAGCTTTGGAAACAATTGGCGGCGAAGATACAAACTTGGCAAGTAAAATTATGAGATCTCTCTCACAAGGGGAGATGGGTTAGTGCCCCAGGTGGAGAAACAATGGGAATCGCGTGTAACCTAGTTCATAAATTCCCTGCAGTTGGGTGCTTTACACAGGCAGGGGACCTTGAACTCATCACATTCATCAGGATCAAACAAGTAATCATACCTGTCAACGCATAGACAAAACAAACGAGATCATGCAATGAGCTTGATCAATTTTGAAGGCTTTACATGGCAAAACACCTTGTGCATTGACAATATAGTCAAATGCTTGTGTTGTGCGTTCAAGGATATAGTTTCTTGGAATTCATGCATACAGTCACAAAGAAAGAGAGAGAGTAGGGGAGGAAGTAATACGTTAGCTCATCCCCAGCAGAAACATTGTTCTTAGCAATGAGTACAATCCGGCTCTGATCATCACCCACACTCATTATCCTTGCATAGCAGTTTGGCATGCACTGCAGCAACAGCATGTAATTGTTCAGAACAATATCCAAAATATACCCTGTATAATAGCTGAGATGAAGCAATTAATTGTATTCTGCTTTTTTGGGGACAAGTTTGTCATCCCATGTAAGGCTGCATTTGGCATTCCTTTATCTCCTTTTTGCTGTTAAAAACTCAGTGTGTTCATAGGGGCATTTTAACTGAAAAAGGAGATCAATCCTTAAAATAAGGAATGCCAAATGCAGCCTAAATGTTCCAAATAATTATTGTCCTAAATTTCGTTATCATTCCATTGAATAATATAATAACTGATTATCTTCATAAATTCTATATTACACTTCTGCCATCGAAAGAATATCAAATCAAATTCATTCTATTACATTTTCTAATCCCCTTTTTCTCTAGATTTGGGTGCTCCACCTTTTGCTTCCCTCCCTTCAGCAAATAACTTTGATTTAATAAATATGTTTTCCAAAAATAGGCAATGAGGCCTTCCATGAACAGTGTTTAACGGTTTAAGAGTTAAAAAGAAATAATTAACCAACAGACATTAAAATATAAACAAATAAAGGCATTCTTTCTGAATCCTGGCTGTTCAACAACTTACAGAATGGTTAATCAAGCGTGCTATATTCCCCTTGTCTGTGGCATCAACCACCACCTCTTCACTGATCTTAAATAGCTGCAGGGAAAACAATGTCAGCCACAATTTTAGGAATAAAAGTAAGATCAGAAAGTGTATGAAAGCGACTACCAAAAAACAAATACAAAGAGTATGCCTCTAGAAGCAAGCAAATGCTATTGCACAGTAAGAAGGGGAAAATGATGAACAAGGCAAGATATGACAAATAGAATATGCCTCTAGAGATCTTGTTGTTGTTGAACCTGCCACCCATTTCCATCCCAAAATGTCCACCATGGTAAAAGAATCAAATTAGTTCATCTTAATGCCTTGAATTATTACAATTCAAGACAGAGCCTAAGCATTACAAATTTTCTCATTTATTCTCAACAGTCCAAAATACCATTGTCCTTGTACTAAACATAATCTTGCCTCTTTGTTCTGTTGGACAGTGTATGCCCTTAGTTTCATTTTCTTGCTGGTGTAAAAAAATGGGATTAATAGGTGGTGAGTCCAGATCTTCTCCTCACACCATCCTCACAGCATGTTCCAGCTGTACAGCAGGAACATCTCCCATAGTTTGTTATTATTCATGGGAGATGTTTCCAATACACAGTGGGATGTGACTGTGAGGTCTGTGAGGAGCACACCCCAATTCGTGGTAAGTAGTTTTTCTGTTTGCATTACAAAGAAAACAGATATGTTGGGGTAAATGCCAATATGGTCTTTTCCTCCAAAGACTCACAAGTGCGAAATTTCAAAGATAAACCTAACAAAAGGCCCTTTTAGTGGCACACTAACACCAATCCACCATATCTCGTTTACCAAGAAAATCTATCAGGGATTAGGACGAGAAGTGGGTTATTTCAAGAAAGCAGAAGTAAAGGTCCCCAAGTGCTTAGGAGACCAAATTCTACAATTTGATCGAGTTGGTTCAAGGAATACATACACCTAAGGAGTTCACTAAGTTCATAGAAACAGGCACTTTGGATTCACTCAACCTTCTCCTGAGACCAACCTCCTAGGATATCCTGGAGGACAATAAGGAAGCAAACTGAGACACAGTTCTGTCTTCGAAAGAAGACATCAAATACAAAATTGGATAGGTTCCTTTTAGAAGACTCTCTCTCCCCACCAAAGATCTTCCTAAAATGTCACTTTTATTTTATTGTCAGAACACAAGAAAAGGGGAAGCAAACCTAATCTTGTAACCAAACCAACTCCCCAGCAATTAGCATGCATTCCTTGATTTCTATAAAACTCGGCCATGTCCAAAGAGAACCTTCAAAGCCATTTTCCCAAAAGTGTAGCCCAATTTATATCTCGGCCAGTGCCAGTATTGATCCTTTTTTTAACTTTTACTTACCTTCCTCCATGTGACAATTTTTTTTTTAATGAATCTATCAAGTGTAGAAAATGAATCTGTAAATTGAATGTGTAACCATTAATGATTATCCCTCTCCTACCAATCCTCCACCATTTAATCAAACCAGAATTGTCTGCATTAGGGATGTAAACCAGTCAGCTTAAATGGTAAGCCTGCCTTGACCCAATCATAGTAGATTGAGTTCAGGTCAATCTTGATGAAGTGTCAAGTCAACTGACTTAAATTGAATCTAGTCTGAATCTGGCTGAATTGGGACAAGCCCACAGGTCCCACACTAAACTTTTTTTTTTTTTGATCAATAACACTTTCATTAATTCATCAATAGAAGTTTTACAAAAGGAAGACAAACACGCTTATCTTCCAAGAGCAACAAAGAATCTCAAGAAAAGGAAAAAAGAAAGAGAAAAGAAAGAAAACACACTAAAGTTACAGCTTGGCCCAAAAAAGTGAATCCCTTTCTGCCCCTTGTTTAGCTAAACCGTCAGCTAGGGAATT